TAAATTGCACCTCACAATTAGGAGCCCTCCCCTCTTCACAGTCTCAAGAATTCAGAGACAGAAGTTCATGTAGTTGCTAGGAGAGACAAAGAAACAGGATTCATTAGGGCCCTGAAGCATCTTCACAACCCTGAGCTGAAGTGAAAACATGCACAACCTGTAACTGACTTCTGAACTTTGTTTTCCTGACAGAATCAAATATTCAAGGGTGCAACAAAAAGAGAAGTGCAGGTATTGCAACTGGGAAAGAAAGGAATTAACAAAAAGAGGCTAAAAAGAACCTTGCTGAAGTGGGCAACAGTTCTGAAGACTGATGACGGGTGCAGAGGTGGCTGCAATTCCCTGAAGGTACCTATGCATATCACAGACTTTACCTGCTGTCTTTATGATACAATTTTCATTACTTCCTTTCTCCTTCATCACTTCCAACTGTTTGTTAGTTGTTATTATATCCAATGGAATTTTATATAGAACTGTGCCTTCAACTAGTAACAGATTATATGAGTAGCATTGAAATTAAGACACTAGTAATCTTTGAGTTCAGTCAAACTCTGATTTCATGAGGGAAGATATACATCTATTCAAGCCTTTGCAGAATCCAGATCTGTGGTTATATGCTTCTTATGACAAACACAACTACAAACCTAATACCACAGTCTTATATAAAGACTATGAATAGGGTCTCTGAGTGCCAGTAAAACAGTAAAATAATCTGGTAACATTGCATACATACATTGTTCATTAAAAGTAGCCATACAAAAATGCAAACCTCTGAAAGAATGCCTCCACAAATTAATCTGCAAATCAATTAAGAAACTAATCTATATAACAAGGTTATCCATAATTGCATGGAGCTAAAAAAAAAAAGAAAATTGCAAAATCCACACAGAAGGTGAGGACAGATATTCTGGGAAACAGCAACAGCTATAAGGGGGGAATGTAAAGTTAGAAAAGAGATGAAGTATTCATGCCATGAAATGAGCATGTAACACTAACCTTTAGAAATGCTGGAAGAAGTCTCCATTTTTCCTGAAAACAAAAACCAGTTAGAAATATCTTTCCAAAGAGTGACCAAACATCTAAAATGCTTGAGCTATTATTATTATTAAACAGTAACATTATTTAAAACCAGATCTGTTTAGATAAGAGACTGTCCAAAGCCAACCTAGATGAATGAAAACAAAACAAGGACATGACTTGGATCATGTTAGTAAGCCATATGTGTTATGCAGTATTTACTTAGGATGCAACTGGACATTGTCTTTTCTAAGGGCAACTTGTATGAGAATATGCGTTTCTTAGAAAACTCCTTACTACCATGTCCTCGTTTAAAAGCAACTATTTTTTTTTCTCCTGTTAACACTGTAAATTATATCCCTAGCAAGGGAAGACATGCTACAACTTTTACTTTACAAAATACATGCAGTTGCGGGAGCAGCACTTGCAGACACACGTCTCTGTGAAACCCACCATTATCCTAACTCCTACAAAGATTTGGCAAAACTACCTAAACAACACACTGACAAGCGTTAAGCGTATTAAGGCTCCTACAAACTTTTACCCATTTCTATTCACAGGCAACATCACCTTACAACAGCCCCACCTTCTCCCCCCATAGCAGGGGGAGCCCACCCCAGATTTGGGATGAGATGCAGGTGGAGGGCAAAGGTGAGGAGGACCAGACAGCGCAGAATGAGGCTGCATCACATGGCTCCAGAAGAGCGTATACCATGATAATATATTCACAGAGCATCAGCACCTCATCGTTTTATTTTGACGTTCAGTCTGGAGAAGTACATGGCAACACCGTAGTCGTGGTGTAACCCTGCCCCTCAGTGTCGGATCACGTATTCGTGGCAAAACACAGCACAACGCCCTCGGACTCCATTTCTGACGCGCTCTTTCTGGACAAAAAGCCCAGCCCAGCCGAAGAGACCTGAAACACTGCCTTCACCTCCTCCATCTCCCCCCACCAGGCAACCAGAAAACTCTAAAGGCACTGCCATGGAGGGCAGAGCCCTCCCTGCCCGCGTGTGCAGGGCAGGAGCCGGGCATCGCGAGGGGGAACAGACCTCACCGCCCCCCACCAACGCCCGGCCCCTTCCCCCTCCGCCGGGGCGGGAGGGGGGCGCATGCGCCGTAGGGTCCCCACCACCACCACCTGCGCAGCCAGGTGGGGGGGGCTCTGCGCATGCGCGCCACGGGGTGGTCTCCTTCCACCTCACCTCCCCCCAGCCCAGCCCCCGCTCTGGGAACGGCTGGACGCGGATCGCCCCTTCCCCAATGGCCGCCCGGTCCCCGCCGCCCGCCGCCAACCTCCACCGTGTTCACAGGAGCCGCTGCCTGCTCCGGCGTCAGGGCCCCCAACTCCGCGGCCAGCGCCTCCATCACCAGCCCGGCAGAGGAGCCACCGCGGAAGCTGACGGCGTGGGACCCGCGGTGTCTCAGGAAACGCGCCCGCCCGCTGCAGCGGCGCCGCGCCCGAAGGTTCCGGGCCAACGGGGCCCTCCTGGGGGTGGGCGCCGGCGGACACGGACACCGACACGGACACGGACACGGAGAGGCGGCAGCGGAGGGCATATGCAGTTAGGGTACAAACTGATTTTTTTACAATTTTTAGTATGCTAAGCAACGTGGAGCACAAGCTTTAAGTATTATTATTGTCCTTTTCTGATCTTAGTGTTGAATGCTGTAGCTGGACCACCTACGAACTTTTTTTTTTTTTTTTTTTTTTTTTCATTGAAAATGTCAGTGTTCTAGACACACCAAAATCCCGGTCGGATAGGGGACTACTCATCTTCCCTAGTTTAAGATTAAACAAGAAAAAAGAATGTGCAAGTGATCCTTGAACGTGCCTGTGACATTAAGTTTTTGCCAGTTCACATACAATAATCGCTAAGAATGTTTAAAAAGCAGAGTGTGGAAACAGTACTTACATCCACTCTGGCTCAGCTCCTGTGTGAATAAAGTTCACAGAATTTGGTCTTGACTCTGCATACCTGGACATGAAAGCCTTGGTTAAACATGAGCGTAGCAACATTTCAGATCACTTCCATTCCGTTTCCTACTTAAAGCAGTCAGCCTGGAGAGTTTGTTTAATCCATGACAATCCTACAGCATCCTGCACAGCCTTGCATCTAACTGAACTACATGCTCATTAAGCAACTATTTCAGCCTGATGACCTGTTACCCTGCAACCTGGTCTGTCAGCTGTGGTTAGTATGTCATCAGAAATCATGGTTACTTTCACAGTAGAAAACTGTAAGAAATCAAAAGTGGGAGTTAGACGATTGAGAGTTCCTTCTTAATTTTCTAAACCAAGCACCTATTAGGGCTGGTTAAGGTCTTTGCCTGTATTTTTTATTATCACTTACAGGAAACCTAAGCTCTAGCAAACAGCACAAGCTTTCAGCCATAAGTTTACTCTAAAATGTTTGTTCTCACTGTGTAACTTAAAAAAAAAAAAAAATATTAGAAGCAATTTTCTCTCATTTTACCAAATTGAAAATTCAGCACTGTGCTTTTCAGGTATTCTTTAGTGTTACTTTGCCTTGGGGCTGTTGTAAATTGTTCACAGAGGGATTTAAAAAAATCAGGGATTACAAAAGATCAAAATCTAGACATGACAGAGTGGCAGTCATTTTAGAAATACTAGAAGTTCAAGAAACACCATGTTTCCAGGATATCTGCAGTACATTTGACTCGGACTCATGCAGTACAGCTAGCACTTCAAGACTGGCTGAATTGTTCAGTTCTTCTGAATAATGCTACTAAAAGGGAAGCAATATGGAGCCATCAATCATCTTTAATTAAAAATCATAGAAGGAATAAAGAATATCCATCAGCTACATGTTGTCTAATTCTCCTGCAGCCAACAGTGCCAGATTCCGGGCAAGGTGTTTCACAACTTATCTACACATTGTTGTAAAACAGTTCAGTTGTTTGGAACTGACCACCTTTCTTTGATGCTCCTTGTTCTTGAAGCCGAAGAGACAGCAAACACCTACATAACTCTTCTGTCTCTATTTCCACTCACCGCTCTGGAGATCTGGCATAGCCTTCCCCCAAGATCTCCCAGTCTGGAGACTCGTATCTGTTTAATCATTCCCAAGAGTGGAGCAGTGATCAAGTATACAAATTTCCTTTGTGGTGGGTTGACCCTGGCTGGACACCATGTGCCCACCAAACCAGGTCTATCCTTCCCCCTCCTCAGCTGGACAGGGGAGAGAAAATATAACAAAAGGCTCGTGGGTCGAGATAAAGACAGGGAGAGATCCTTCAGGAACAGGCTGCCCCAGCGTGGGTCCCCCACGGGGTCACAAGTCCCGCCAGAAAACCTGCTCCAGCCTGGGCTCCTCTCTCCACGGGTCCACAGGTCCTGCCAGGAGCCTGCTCCAGTGTGGGCTTCCCACAGGGTCACAGCTTCCTTCAGGCATCCACCTGCTCTGGTGTGGGGTCCTCCACGGGCTGCAGGTGGGTAACTGCTCCTCTGTGGACCTCCGTGGGCTGTGGGGGGACAGCCTGCCTCACCATGGTCTTCACCACGGGCTGCAGGGGAAGCTCTGCTCCAGCGCCTGGAGCACCTCCTCCCCCTCCTTCTTCACTGACCCTGCTGTCTGCAGAGCTGTTTCTCTCACCTATTCTCACTCTGCTCTTGTCTGGCTGCCACTGTGCATTTTTCCCCCCCACCTTCTTAAGTTCTCACAGAAGCGCTACCACCATCGCTGATGGGCTCAGCCTTGGCCAGCAGCGGGACCACCTTGGAGCCGGCTGGCACTGGCACTCGGACACGGGGGAAGGTGTTAGCAGCTTCTCAAAGAATCCACCCCTGTAGCTCCCCCACTACCAAAACCTTGCCACGCAAACCCAACGCAACCTTCTTCCAGGGAGTCAGATTTAAGCAAGTGACTGTTCTGAATGTTATTTCTGCAGCTGGATTAAAGTCCCTACACTCCAACTGCAACAGAGAAGTTGGAGAAAAAGAAAAGAGTCACAACATATTATTAGTGCAGTCATTTATCTTCAGCATTTAACAATCCATTATATTTAAGAAAGTTTGCATAAATGACTTTTCACCACAGGCAGTATCACAAACAAAATTTAATTCATACAAAGCCTTAAATACTTGTATTTCAACAAAGAAAGCTGCTACAGAATGGCATCTTGTTTCACAAGGACAACTTCAGAGTACAGGCAAGTACTTTTCAGCCACAGTAGCATAAACAGCATGCAACACATGACATTAAACAGATGCAGTGTCCATGTTTGAAACATTAAATAAAAATGAAGATACATTAAACAATCATTTGAAACATAGGCCGTGCTATAAAATGCCCTTTGCAAGTCACCTTAATCACCAAAAAACCCCAATGAATCCTAATTTTTTGAGTATTTACCGGTAAAAACTAGTATGACAGTTTCCCCAGCACATTAAAGATCTATAGTTTCCTATTTATTTTTAAAATAGAATGCATATTATGCTAAAAAGTTCAAAATCATGTTATTAGTCATCTTCAAATGTTCATAAAATCCTCTTTTGGCTGAAGCTCAAAATAGTTTAGGTATTGCTAAAGGTGTAGCAAATCACCAAGATTTATTTCCCCATAATTGCTTTTGAAAAGCATTCTTCATGATTTTGAGTTGCATATCAAAATTTCATATTCAACTGAGCAAGCCTGTTTTACCTAGTGGCACGATTACTGTATTCCAACATTTCCTCTCTCAGTTTTTCCAGGCTTCAGGAAACAGTTCCCTTTAAAATATGTATTCATCTTTATTTTGTGCAATGCTTTTACAAGGGATAGAGCAGATGTGCGCTAAAGAAATTTGTTTTCTAAAAAGGCATGTTGAAGAAAGTTTCTTATCATGTACATGTAACCAAAGTACTTGGACACAGAGGAACAACTGACTAGAAATAATTTCCCTTACTAAAAAGAGTACACAGTTCTGTAAAAATGGACTACAAAACCAGAGTACGCTAATAATGCCCAGTTTTTTAGACCTTTATGATAGACATAGTAATGTACATACACAGTTTGTGTGACACATTAAGCTTTTACGGGCAAGTTTTTCTCTCTTCATAAAAAATAGACTGTAGTATAAAATATTAAAAACAAGCTATATAACTTGTACCACATGGATTTTTTTATATATATATGACATTTTAAAAGGACCATTATATGGTAATATATTAAAAATCATTTTCAAGTAAATGACGATTCAATTTCATAAACAAGAACATGTCAGTAAGTATTCCAGCAGTATCTATTCCCAGTAATCAGAAATATGCAAAATAAAGCCTGGGTAAACTTAGTTTACTTCCACATTTCTCAATTTCAAGCCTATTCATTTTCTGTATGCAAGAGTCCTGATGTCTTAAATGGGAACTAAGTATCTGGGCCTATTCTGAAGGAATTTGAAGGAAACTGCAGTATTTCTCACAGACTTGGTGAAAATTAATCTAATCACATTTTCAAGAATGACTAATCATTTGGGTTCTTGCTTCCACAACCAATAATGTGTTGTGAAAAGCTTATGCCCTCATCCAACAGAATATAAAGGGGGGGGTGTTGCTCTGTTGTACTCTGTAAGGTCACTCTCAAGTGCTTTTGGGAATAAAGGTCAGAAAGACCCAGCTTAAAAATACTTACTACCCATTAAGATCAAAGATCAGTACATACACATATTGGAGATTGAAGATCTAATGTACGACCTCCACTAGATAAACAAAATGATTATAAACATTATATACAGAAGTTTACTCTCCCCTCCCGCCCCGCCGACCCTCATGTTTCTTAGGTGTTTATCATTAATCTCAATTACTGTTGAGAAGTTCTGAATGATTCCTACTTTAAGTGGTGAATGCTTCTTCTGTAACTGCTATACTCCACAAACAGTATATAATACTGGCATTCCTTAATGTAATAATAATGTAATCCAAAACCAGGATGAACTTGGTTTTGGTTACAAAAGCAGTTATGTTATACTTTTTTTGCTTCAAAGTCTTTTCAGAAATGTGTTTTATTAGATGTTGCTCTACAAAAATACTATGTAAGCATAGTACATTTTATCTACAATTTTTTGTCATTTCATAATTGCATTGCTATACGTAAATATATTTAAGTTGAAAAATAACATGTTTTAATGATGGCAAGACAGTAAGTACTTTGCCAGCTCTTTCCCACTGCAAATCATAATAAATGCTTGCTTTGAAAACTAATAATTCACTGGCTATTACAAGTGACACGACGCATTAAACAAATTTAGTCTATTAAAATATTTAAGTCCTTGAATTAATATCTTTCCAGTGAATTTCAGAAGCTATCTGCATACACTCTACAAGATCTCTCTCGTTAATAGTCACTGGAGTGGGCTGTTCTTAGTGGAGAAGTCAGATCACTGTCTTGGAAGGTAAAAAAAGGGGGACAGAAATAGGTCATAGCTTTTTAATTGGTAGGTGTTTCTGTTTCTGCTTTTCCCATCGGTGCCTCAGGAAAAAGTAGTTTTCTAAGTATGTTTGCATAGAATGGTCCATACACTTGTTTATTAAAGTTTACAATGCTTGCATACTGAGATCCAACAAACTCCATCTCTGTCTGAATCACAGAAAGGCCTCCTGGCATAGAAGGCATACACTTCTGAAAATTCGGAAGAGCAAGCAAGCTTCTCATGAAGAACTGGATTCGTTTATCTGAAATGGAAAATAAATTATGCTCAGAACAAATGTAAACCGAAGATGAAGCCATACTTGCTTTGTAAGCAACCTGCACATCAGCACAGCAAAAAACCCCAAGTGTAGGTATCAACTCTTTCCCAAGCCCATGTTGCAGTGGGGAACAATACTGAAAGCTTCTTAACGTTGGCTCCTGCAAGGTGGACACAGTGTAAATCTGCTGCAGCAAGTTACACTACCTACTATGAAGTATACTCAAAGAACAAAAAACCACTAGGTTTAAACCCAGAACTGGAAGGGAGACTGAACAGCACTCATTTTTCTAAATTCTTCTCCAAAATACTAGCTTATCTAGGCATGCTTGTTCAGACACTTTTAAAACTATTTCTAGCTGTGACTAGCCATGCTCTGCAGCATACCAAACACACCATCTACAGGTAAACAACATTCCCTTACTCTTTAGTTGCCCCAGTAAAAATACTGCAGTGAGGAAGCGCTTTTAAAAAATTTGACAGCCGATTAGGCTTGCTGGGAGTAAGTATGTATTATTTTACTAACCTATCAAAGAACTGACAGGATTATTCTCCTCAGCAATATGAGCTATTTGACCCATTAAATTACTCTGCATTTCTTCATTAAGAGTGTGAAGACCCCTTTCACTTAGAGATCTGTTCACTTTGCTGCAAATCTGGACTCCAATAGCATGCAGAGCCTCTTTCAAATCAAAAGTCCTGGAAGAAAGAAAGAGAAAAGCGTTAACTTTTGCAGTTTCTGTAGCATAGGTTGTAAGGTGACCTCACTTGTCTCTTTTCCCTTCTATTTTCAACCTGCTCTCTGCAATGAGAGAATTTAGAAGAGTTACCTTTTGATTTTGCAGATTTATGTACATTTACAGATACAGGACAAATCTCCATGTGGAAGATAAAATAAGGACCTAATTGTGATTCAAACTGGTAAAATCATTTAAAGTGTGCAGCAGTGATGTGACACCAGTTCATTTTGCCTTTATACTTGGGTGTTTTCCTGGGCCACGTGCATAGCATCTAATGAGAAAAAGTAGAGTGGAAAGGTATTTTATGAGACACTCTTTCAGATCACATCAGACTTGCTTGTAGTACAAGTGGCAGCAGAAATAAGCAGCCAAATAGCTTAAACCACCTACAAGTTTGAAGCAACTGGCAAGACAGTTTAGTGAATATATTGCCGGAGTCTCTCCAGTATTACAAGTGTATGAATGAACATTAGTACTACACTCCAAATTCTGCAGACTAATAGCAAAATCATGATTTCATTAAAATATAACTTTGAAAACATGTGCCTAGCAAAGTAGACCTATAGTGTAAAGGTAATATAGATCTAGATTATTAAAATTTGGTATCTTCCCATTACTAACAAGCACTGGCTATGACATTTGAATTCTTTCCGAGGGTTTTCAGATCCACCTGGTACTTCCTGTTTAGAAAAAAACACGTATGAGGAATTATAAAAACAAGGCCTTACTTCTTGTTCATGCCATCAAGAAGAGGAACAGAGATCCTTTTCAGTTGGTCAGCAAAATCGGGCACATCTACAATTGCTGCACCCACCATATTGTTTGTTATGAGACAAACACAAGCTATGATTTTTAATTGATTGAGCTTTTCTCTCAACTCATGAAGACGAACTTCATCTGTTATTAGAGTCTAGAATTGAAACAATAATACTCATTTAGAAAAATGGAGGGAAGCAGGCATGGAGCATTAATAATCACAAATATGCAAAGTCAGAAAAGACAGCAGCTGAAATACCCTGAATATGCACTGCACCAAGTGTTATTATGTATGAGTACCAGAAGTAAGTCTGTGGTGATAAAGGAATGTAATGCCTTCAGTGCAGAGGAAACTGACTGAGGACATTGCATCTTATTCTTCATCACTGCTCACAGAAATCTGCGACCAACAATTCAGCCCACGGTGTGGAATGCTCAGGGGATCCAGAGGACGTTGTAGTGATCAAGGTTACAGACAGAATAGTCTTCTGGATTTAGCTGTCCTTCCAAAAATGCCATAATCTGTAACTGATGGACAGTGATGGACAACTGTGCATGGCAACCACCAGCTCAACCACCAGAGCAGGTTGTGCAAGCTGCTACAGGCAAAAAGCCAGTTGATCATACCAAGAATGTAATTCCCACAACAAGATATAGCTGGAGTGACTTATTTTAGGTTAGAAAGAGTTCGTACTAACCAAATTCCTCCACTGAGAAGTACAGAGGCATTAACATTCAACTGTTTGGTAGTAATTTCATAGTATGATAAACTAGATCCACCAGAAGATACCTGTGTGTAGCTCATTCAAAACTGTTCAAAGGTGAAAATAAGGTGGTTTCACTTTCATCCACTGACTGACAGCACTAAGAGCATCCCCATATATTTAGCAAATTCTCTGCCAGGACACCACTAAGCATAGCTAAGGTGCTCACTGCAGATGCTAGTTTTAGCCCTGACTGATGGCCAATTTCAAATTGGCTTTATGGAAAGTTGCAGAGGTCAGTAATCAGGAGTTGGGAGGGAAAAAACTGAATGCTGATTCCTGAAACAATAGTTTATATGCACTGAGAAAGGGTGAATATCTACTTTAGAGAGCTTCAAGTTTTTACCGATTCTGTTCTAAAGCAAGAGTGATCCCACGAATTCCTACTGCTGTTAGGAAAACAGGATACTATAGTCAGTGCTGTCAGTGCAAGGCCCTGCCTTTGACCATGGTCAAGACTGGTCCTAGGGTGGGGCTGGTGAGCTATGACTGCATAGGGGGAAAACAGCCTTTACCTCATTCTTTTCTAGTTGCTGACTTGCCCATATCATACTTCAGAGACTAGACTAGCATACACTCTCCAAATTCACTATTCTGAAGTTTAAGGAGTTCAAGAGAATACTTCACTTATTGTAATCAATAGCAGGATTATTAAACTACACAAATGTGTTCATATAGCTAGAAAATCTTAAGACACTAAAATACACTTACCTCTGGAATTGTTTTGCGATAATCCCATTGTAACAGTTTCAAGTAGCCATTGTTTAGCACCAGTGTAGGACTAATAATTGGTTTAGAACTACTATCAGCACCAGGGGATGATGAAGATTCATCAGCAACAGATGACAATTCATCTTCTATTGATTCCTTTATCCATTCTGTTGTGAGATCCAGGGCACCTAAGCATTGCAAGTCAGCACAGATTTACTGCAAGCTTTCAGCAAAACAAGCACTACCTTGAGGAAAAGAGTTGTACAAACAAGAGTATTGAACGTCTGAAAACTGAACAGAGTGGCTAGCTGAGTCTTCACACACCTAAACTCCCTCACTTTTTTCTACTGATCATCTTCCATTGGTCACCTTAATATTCTAGCTAGCTTGTACAAACCCAACAACAAATTGTTAGATTTTTGGAGTCAACATTTTAGAGTAAAAAAGCCTCAACGTCCAAGTTCCCAAAGCATTTTTTCCCTTTTTCAGGAAGGCCACTTAATAGTTGGGGCATGGGAGTGGAAAGTAGAGGTGAAAGGAGATAAACTGTATTAAAGCTTTTTTCTCAGGCTGCATATATGAACACTGCAGGCTGTATCAGTGGCTCACAGTTCCCATTTTAGAAGCCCCTGCTCCAGATTTTAGAAATGTTACTACTTCTTCTTGGAAAATATATTTTCCTGAACACTGTTTAGCCATATTACACAAAACCTGTAATAGTGGATCAAGTTGACTTTGCATTACCTAAGAAGTTTTCCTCAGAGCCTGCCCTTTGTTTATTAAAAAAATTGATCCTGTCCCCTCCAACTTTCAGGCCCACTAACTGGCTTTACCTATTTGCTTCAGACTAACAACAGACTTGCTGCATACATAAAAGTATGTAGGGTTTCTGCTTCTAGACAGGAAGAGCCTTTGTTTGTTTTCCAGATACCAACCAATTTAGCAAATACAAATTTGTCTGAAAGCACCCCAGATTACAGACAAACATACTTTATAGCAAGTTAAGCAACTGCGCATTGGTAGCTTGCTTGTCAAAGAGTTTTTGCATTAGTCAGATCCAGACAAGAAATTGAAGTTTTCCTCCAAATTAACAGCAATTGACAGACCCTATAGCATGTCTTTAAATAGTCTGCTTTTTTAAAGAAAGGTTTAAATTAAATATAGCATGATACCTACTGGGTGTTTCTTCAAGAATTTCCTGGAATTTTGTTCTTTCGTAGTCCACCAAATTACGCTGAAGGTATGGCCTAAGGTTTTGAATTGTGTAATTAGCCATATCCACTTTCATCAGGTCCAAAACATGGAATATTTGTCTGAAAGTTGGAGTTTAAAATTTGAAAATTACAATAGTCTACTGATTTTAACCATCACACGAGGTACACCTACATTAGCACTTTAATTTCAATTCTGGAAGAAGCAAGCTCCTTCGTTGGTATTTCAGTGTAACAGACATGTTACCTATCTTCCAGGATACTTGAAGGAGTATTGTGTATACGGGTTGGTGCAACTTACAGAGAACAGGACAAATATGTAGCATCACTAAAAGCTACAAGCCTGTAACAGCAAGAGAAAGGTTTTCAAGAACTCTATCAATTGGCACATTTCAGCCTACATGAAGAGATTTTAACCTTTTAGTGGCTCAAATTGAACCAAGGGAAACAATCCTTCTCACTCAGTTGCTTTGGTCCCTGTATATGATCCAACTTGCAATAAAACAGCAGAACAACCACCACCATTTATACTTAATGTTTCAGCATACCTAAGGAGCAGTAAACTGGTTTCTGTCCTTTCATGCAAGTGTTTTACTCAAGTTCAAGTAATAAGATCTTTACTAAAGATATTTTAAATCCAAAGTTTGGCCTCCTAGAGGAAGCATCCAATAAACAGTTCAAGAAGGAACAGTACAAATGTGCTGTTTAAATTTTGTAAGGATGAACAACACTGAAAAAGCAGTCTCCAAAACACAGATTACTGCAAGAGTGCCTATTTGTTGTTCAACAGCTTAGATATTCAGAGCTGGTAATGTTTGATCTAGGCATTCTACCCATTTCATTACAAAGTAAGATACACATATTCTGGTCAGCGTGTCATAGCTCTTCCCCTTTAATGCTTCTGTAAAAAAATAAGTTTTCCCACGCTTTGAGAACAGGTTTTATGTAAACAGACACAATTTAAGACTTTTTAAGATTTTACCCTCCTCTTCCACTTCTTTCAGAAGTTTTTCCCCTAAAAACCATACCCAAATACCAACCTCAGTAATTCTACGATATTGTCAGTTGCTTTTAACTGTTTTATATCGTTGTCTCTTATTGGAGCACATAACTTTCCCATAGTGTTGATGATATAGTTAGCTAGCCCATGAATATCAACAGCATTATGTTCTGCCTGCTGTCTTATAAGATCTGTATCTAGGACTTCACAAATTTGATTTTGAATCCTGTTTGCTCCAGGAGTCAGGAAGGAAAGAAGAATCTAAAGTAGAGGGGGGAAAAAAAAAAAGAAAAACTTATCAATAAACCCCAAATAATTTAGTAAACACACTGAAGTAATATCTTAGTATTAATGTCAAGTGTATTTAGATGACTGACTACAACAAAACATGGTAAGACTGAACGTTATCTAAGGTAGCAAGAAAAAAGAACTGTTAAAAGGATCACATTACAGTTCTGCAGAAATGCTCAAAGCCAGTAAGACAGAAAGCATGTCAACAATGAGACTCTCAAAAACTGGGAGGCTGCCCTGTAAAACAAACATTTACTAACTTAAAATTCTGAAAGACTTAGTATTGTGCCAGTATTGAAGGTCTGTACGCTCCCTTGTGTGATGATCATAAAGTCTATTTGGGCAGGTGCAGTCATGTTTATACTCCTGTTAGTGCCCTAAACTCACGGTATGTTGCTGGAAAGAGGCTAGCAGAGATGTGAAGCTTTCAGAACAGAGCTGACTTGCAACTAACCATCATGCAATGAAAGCTGAGTGGATTGGACTGTGAATTTGTGGCCAAATCCATAGTTAGTATAAATATACTATAAACAGACACCTATTTGCAATTCTGCATAATCATGATTTCATCTTAAAAGAACAAACTGGAAGGTGCTGGCTTTGCTGAGTGAGCAGATCCTTCAGTGAAGTAAGAGACTCTCACACCTGACAAAACCATACTGGGGGCAGGGAAGAGGAAAATGTTACCTCCTTAATTTCCTCAAAGAGCTTGATAGCATGTTCATATTCTGGAGGATCTTCATTCAGTTCGGATTCCAAGTGATCCCAAAATGCCTTGTGTACAATTCTTTTCACTGTGCCTGCAAAGCTGTGTAATAATTCAATTAGATACAGAAAAGACTCCCAACTAGCTTTCACCCTTGGTAAAAGTATTTTAGTTTAGCCTCATCGCTTGTTGGGAAACACAGACCACCTCACCAGCTACTGTGCCCTGCAACAATATCATTCCTGGGCTGTGGATTAATCAGCTCACAGAACGTGGTCTAGACTTGACAAGTCTTTCCTAGGACACTTGTATTTTATAAAGTGGTGCTGGCAATTCAGATGTAAAGAGATATTACCCTTCCTTTTTCCTTACCAAATTTGTATTCACTGTCTTAACCTGGTATGTTACACTCTAAGCTTTCTCGAAACTAGTTATATGACAGAGAATAGTTTATTAGTTAAGGGAATTGTGCACTTAAAAACCTGTTTGTTTTTTATCTAAGTTTTCTTTAGTAAAGGCCAAGGTTGTTTTTAAGGTAGACATGTCTGTAAGCAAGAACACTGTAGCTACCTACATTAGGGAAGTTACTTCTCACTTCCTCTGGATCTCCAGATATTTTTGCATCTCTTCTGGGGCTAATAATAGAGCTGTGTTCATGATGAGCTCTATCTTCTTATCACTATGGCACCAACGAGCTACAACATACAACTGCATAGAAGGCCACCATTTCATCTTTTCCACAGGGCTGGGAACTACACAGAACAGATGGATACTCATCTTCACAATGGGCAATCACATTGCGTTAGCCTTTTATCTTCCACGTGACATTTAACACAGAGCAATGTGCTCCAAGGCCGTATATCAACTCAGCTGGACTGCAACACCTGTTCCAAGCAAGACAGTCTCGACAGTGACTCCTGGAGGTTCAGGATAAAAATCTCTAGCCTTCCAAGACATTTTGATTTGGGTTTTTAATTTGCTGCTCCATCCATTTCTCTTCTCTTCCCAACCCCAGTGCTGTTTTTCGCAAAATTCAGGCTCTTACCTGTTCTGTGGGAAGTCTTCGTGTTTTATGCAAAAGTTTGCATTTACAGCGATTTCATGAGCTAGAGTCAAGTCTGTCAAATTTTTTGCAGCTGCCATCAGTTCATCAAATGTAATAATCTTGGGAGGGCTTGCTGCTGGAACAAACAAGATCAACTCAAGACAAATATCTATAGTTGAGATGTGTAATTGAAAATATTAAAATTTAGAAATTTTACTGCTTGCTAATTGGACTCCAGTAGTCTAAAGGAAATAACCTAGGATTACCAAGTCTTTATATCTTCTTAAAACATAAACTCAGGAAACTCCCAGCTTATCAGGGGTGTGTGTGTGTGGGGTAATACCATGCAACCCTCACAACATTTTCAAGAGCAATTTCATATTTATGCATTTTAACTAGGATATCTCTTTTCCTTTAAAACAGGATCTTGCATTCCACAGATCTCCTATTGACTGTTCTGTAAAATCCACCAGACCAAAAGCATTGGCAATAACAGATACCAGATGTCCCTTACAATTCTGAGCACATAATGGCTATATTGTGGTTTTATTGCCTATAGAGAAGATTCTGAAGTTACTGATTTAAGAACCCCCCCACTTATGTATCATAAGTTACACTCCCTTTTCACAAACAATTAACAACGTAACAGAAACTCTACACTGGAAAGCAAAGAGTTTCTAAACCTCCAGATTCTGTCATTTAGTTTGTATTTGGAATTAAGGCTTTTAAAACTGGTAATAAAGACAAACAAAGAGCCAGGTGCCAACTGCAGCTCCACTAACAAGCTTGTTTTAATGTAAGACTTCACTTACATAGATGCTAAAAAGTATGTGTGGTCTGAGGATGCTTACAGACACGAACATGAAGCACACCTGAAAACCAAGGCTTTATTTATCATTACTCAAAATACCTTCCTTGTGCAAATGTGTGTTTTCTGTTTCATCCTAATATTTATGAAAGAAAAAAATGTGAATTTGAGATTGATTTAATGTAATATTATAAATCTGTAAGTTACAGATTTAATTTAAGTGTATGGAGCAAACAGAAGAAACCCACCCTTTGCACAAAGCCATATCTGGTTGAGTGGAAAACTGCTACAAACATCAAGATTAGCTCAAGATTAGGATGTCCATGGTGGCACACTTTTCTTACGCTTTCTGAAGGGAAGGAGTGCCTTTCTCTTAATACTCTTAAACAGAGATTCAGAATCCCAGATTCTACCCACGACAGCAAAGAGAAGCAAGATAAGTTAGCCTTATCCATCTATACACAATGCAGGTAAGGCTGAAATTGGCTTACACGCTGGGGAACTGGGCTTGCTTGAAGAATCGCTGTTAAAGCTCTGTCTTGAATATTCAGAGTCGCTAGAAGAAGCTGTGCTTTCAGAGAGGCGTGAAGAATCTGAATCACTGTTCTGGTCATCATTGAGAGGCATTCTGATTCACTCTAGCTGTTACAGTAAACAAAGACCTAGAAAGACAAATACACTTCCCATAAAACCAGCGCTTTTGTTTGTTTGTTTGTTTCTCAAAAGTCAGATACTGATCATTATATTGTGAATGAAGAAGTAGATGCCTTTCTTAAAAAGATGTTACAGAAAGGCTCAGGTTTGACATGTAGAATCATACAGTTATCAACAAACTACACCTGTTCTGCAAGAAAGTTTTGTACCTTCTGCTGTTTCATACCTTATGGTTATGTTACAGTCTGTAAATGGGTTACATTTAAAATATAGAACACTACCCACAGTAACCCCTGAAGTTGCTTGTTGTCAGAATTTTCAAAGTTCTCAACATCCATAAAGGTATCTCTTGATGTTACCATCCCCCACCTGACTTCACCAATGAGTGCGGTTTAGCAATTCGCTTCCTTCCACGTACAGACTGCACGGAGTGCAACAACTCTGAAGCAAAGACAGAAGTTGCTGGGGGAGAATAGGCAAGTAATTCAGAATACTAAACTTCTGAGAGGGTGTGGCTCAAAGTCTGGCCTGCTGCTTTAGGTGGGTCTTTTGCTCAGAGTCAGATCAACAGTGACATAGACCCAAAAAATACTCCTCCTAGCAGGGAGGGTGGATGGATTTTCTGGTTTAAGTCAAACAGTAACTCTAAGCCTCTAACATTACATTCAGCATACATGACAAGCAACACTGAGAAGTGTTATGCTTCTGTCTACAGTCATAGTGCTTCTGTCTACAAAACTGCCTCCCAGGCAGATAATCTGCAACTGCAAAGAATTTGGACAGCTGCGTAGTACGATATAGATGATTAACAGTTGTATGACAGGAAGTGAAAAATATGTTCATAATCATTCAAAGATGAGAAACTGGCAGTCAGCCATAATTACTACCAAAGGAATTTGGCCCAGATACCAAAATTAGCTGTCTATCTTTGATTAGGGCCATGAAGCCTTCTGTAGTAGACTTTATGAAAAAACCCAGCCAACGATGCTTTCCGTCAACAAATTTAAGTAATATGACTTCATTTATGATAAAATTGCATCAACTCCAGCAGGCAAGGAATACTGCAATTTGCAACTGGTGAACTTGGAAAAAGCCACTTTCAGCAGCAAAAGGATGATCTTTGTGTGTACTTATGTGACTTAATGTATCAAGGGAATAAGAATGATAATTTCTTTATGCTGGCACCTAGTTACATCTTAGAACGTTTGAATTTTTGGGTACCAGCTCATCCTGAATAGGCCTTTACAACCTGATGAGGTATTACACTGATGAGTATGCCCCTGTTAATTGAAATGATTAACATTTGGAAAATGTATGTTTACCCTTCTTCCTTCCTCTCCCAAAAGGTAAGATGCATGTGAGTGCCTTATGTAATATTTTATGCTGTTTTTTGTGAAGAGAATTAGTCACTTCAGCAAGAACACAGACAGTTTATTACCTTACTAGAAAAGCCAGTATGAGAGTCTTTTGATCAGGACATAGAGGTCATTGGTTCAAGACTTATGTTAGTGGTGATCCTTAACATTGTAACTCTTTTTTTAGAACAATAATTTTATGACTTCTAACAAGCAACTGAAAACAAGCAGATATTTAAAACAGTATTGACTAAACAAGACTGAGAGTTGCAAGAGAACCTAGAAAACCAAAAGGCTGATGTATTTTTGACTCAGAAATTGTACTTAAGTTAAACTGTACTTAAATCAAAAATTAGTCACTAGTTAATGTTACTCAAGAGACTAAAACCTTTCTTCAATTAATATCTGTGTTACAGATCTCAGCACTAGCACTGACTAGAAACCAGCTGTGATGAGTAACCTACTTGTAGAATGCACTCCAGGTTCTTGTTGTGGAACCACTCACTTAAATACAGTAACCCTACAGAGCCTACAAAGCTTGTATTACTCTCTCACTATTGTTTCTGGATCAGCATCAGAACACCGTATTTCCAGGCTTTAATCATGTATAAAACCCCTTTACTTATATATAACTAACCTCCAAAAGGTTAATGTTGCACGTGGTCCATTGAAAGGACTGACTAACGTTGTTAGCAGTGTACTGGCCCAAAAGGTCTCGTAAATCACTTGCCTAGTATGAGCACTTCAGGATGGGTCTACTGCTTCAGTCTAGGTGTTAAGAACATGGAAGAAGTTAAATGATCATTAAAAAAAAACAAATTCTCATACAATTTACACATCATTTCAAGAACTTCCTCTTAATTGTCAATATAATTCTAATATTTGAATCTATAAATACTCAAATATTCAGATTTCCAAGGTGCTCCTGACACAAGTATTAAACCAGCCACAAAGGCAAGTCAGCACTGCCATTTTCTACCCCAACCTTGATTCCTACAAAGACCAAATTGTTAAGGTAGAAATTAAAATGCTATATGCATTAAATCTTCACATACTAATCACGGCAATGGATCTTTCAGCAATAAATACTTGCATTTCAAAGAGGCCCATGACATATTTTGATGTACCAAGACCATACCTGTTCCTACAACACATGCACACATACAGAGTTGTCAGAGTGCTTCAGAAGGGTTAATTTAAATTAGTTTCAGCAATGCAACAGGAGATGACACATTGAAAAGACACTGCAATCTTTGCCACAGTAAATATATTTCCTAGTAGGATGCCTCAAATGGACTTGTAAGGAAGAATAGGTGTATTCTGCAGATTTGTAATGTTACTGTTAAATTCTAAGTTTAAAAGATAAATAAGACAGCAAGCACAAAATAAGCATACATTAATACACAAGCAGAATCCGCATATGCCATCTACAGTTTTTAAATATGCTTCCCAACAGCTAAAAATCTTAGCAAAAAGTACATTCATCAAGCATATCAGACGGCAGTACAAACCAAAAAAGGCATTGCTAATAATAGACAACTGAGTTACTTAGTCCTTTCTTTATAGCATACACTGCAAGAGCTACTTTTCCTTATGCTTTTGAAGACAACATGGCGCTTCTCAAATTATTAAGGGCCAAGTTGACATTTAATTTTAAGTTCAAATTAATATAATTCCTCAAGTAAATACATTTCACAAAGCCCTTTAGCCTTCCAAGATCTTTGTAATTCACCAACCTGAATAGACAATACCATCTTATTTCTCAAGTTGTTCATTAGGTATTACATATTAGGCTACTGTTTTAATACACAGCTTAATATCCTACCTAGTCTATTAAAGGGTCAGCCTGTGGTTACAACCTGCTTTACTCCTCCTGCATTAAAAACAACTGATGTTTACTTCTATATTAGGTAGGATACCTTCACAGTGGGCTTCATTACACTGTCTACTTTACACTGCAGTTTTTTAAAGGATAAACTCTAAATGAGAGACCAAGCTAAAAATATCTTCTAAATGTACAAACCCAAAATCCCAGTTAATTTAACAAGGAAGAATTAAATTATTGTGGTCCCTGCTGCTATTTAAACAGTTTGGGTAAAGACTTAGTTTTTAGTAAAGATGCAATGAATACAACACTGCAGATGCCTAAAGGCATCTTGCTCTTATAGTCACCTCATAACCAGACCTGATCATTCACTTAGAACAGATCCAGGTTGCAAGATCAGATTAGTTTTAGAGAACACAAACACGCTTTTTATTTCTGAAGGCTTCCTTTAGAAGTTATTTTATGAAGCACCTGTGGAAAAAAAAAAGACAGTTTGGAAGGTATTTTTTTTTCCTTGAGATACCATCATTAAGAAAAGTTTTTCCACAACCCTGCTTTGTTCAAATAAGTCCCTCCATCCACGCACACTTTTTAAGTGCTCTGTCCAGTTTTACCACTATAAATGTCTTAACTCTGTTTATTCTACTGGGCTTACACCCTTACTATCTCCAAGCTGGCACCGACTGAATCTCATTCGGGCTCGAGTTTCCCCTTTCAGTGACTCCACCTTTGCCAGCACTCACGGCACAGGAGCAGAAAAGAGCCTTTGTTAAGAGTTACAGAATTTCCTCGTGCCTAATTTTTGACAGCTTCCAGCCGTCACTTCTCTGCTTTAGCCTTCCAGTTCCGCAGCTCTTCCCTTTAGACACAGGGTCCTCCTGCCGAAAGCTCACAAATAATCGAAGAGCGAGGCGAGTACGTGTCCCCCAAGGTCTGTGCGGGGGGGCTGCCACGGGAGTTACCCTCACCGCGGCAACACGTCCCCCCCCCGCTGCCCAGACCCCGGTCGTGACGAGGGGTCACGGCCCCCCGGGGGGGGGGCGGCGGTGGCCCTCCCCTCCCCCGCCGGCTCCCCTCAGGGGGGAGCGGCCCCGCCGCCGGCGGCTCCTCCTCTTCCTCCATCTGTTTCGCTGCCTGTCTCCTCCCCCGGCCCCATGTTTGTAACAGTTACCAGAGGCAAGACTTTGGCATCCGCCGACCAAAACAAACAGCGTTTCCAAGGACAGGCCCGGGGGGAGGAAGGAAGGAGGAGAAGGGAAGGGGGCACCCTCTCTCTGCCAGCCCGGCTGCCCGCCTCCAAGCGCCCCGGGCAGCGAGCCAGAGTGCCCTTGCTCGGCGCTGCTGGAGCGGGGCTGCGAGGGGGGGGAAGGTGGAACCCCCGCGGCTGCGCCCGTCGGGACGGCTCGTCCCGGCGGACAGCGGGCGCTAAGGGACGGCGGGACCCCGGGAGACACGGGGCAAGCGGTGCGCTCAGAGACCCCGAGCAGGGGCTGCGAACCCCTCCTGCTGCAGCGCCGGCCCGCCCCCCCCCCCGCTCCCCACGCCGGGCCAGCTCTGACCCGGGCTCACCCCGCAGCTCACGGCCCGTCTGTGCCCGCACACCCCGGCGTGTGCCACGGCCGCGGCGGTGCCCCCGCTCGCCCCGGTCACTCACCGCGGCCCGGCGGCAGCAGCTCGCCCTCCTGCGCGGTGCTCGCCGGGGCTTTAAAGAGCCCCTCCGGATTTATACACCCAGCCAGGACTATTAGTGTCTTCCTTGGGCGAGTCCATCTCTGACAGTGACGGGGGGGGGGGAGCCGCGTAATTTTTTCCTTCAGCGACGAGTTAGCCCGAGGGACTTCGGTCAACCTGCGCCTATCCCTGCAGAAATAGGCCGTGTCTCCTCATTCTTCCCGGACCCAAGCACTAAGCGGGGAGAAATATGACGTGAGAAGGGAAGACGCTCCCGAGGGATTCCCCAGCGCCGAATGGGCCCTGCCCAGGGGGGAAGGCCCGGGTGGTGTTTACGGAAGAGCCGCGTCGATCCGGGCTGACCCCGCCCCTTCCCCGGCGCGGGGCGGGGTCTCCGCGTAAGCCCCGCCCCGGAGCCCCCTCAGGGGATGGAGAGTCACGCCAGCCCCGCAGAGGCGGCGGAGGGGAAGCGGCCGTTTCGTCAGGGGAAGTGGTAGCACCTCAGGGCGTATTTCCCCATCTCTGTTCACGGCCCTGCCGAGGAACCTTTAAATACGTCCCCACGAGCTTTCCTGCCCTGGTTTCCTTAGCCTCTCGATTGCGGGGTGAGGCGCCCCCTCCACCCCCCCCGCCATCTTGCCCTCCCCCCCCCCCCCGCCATCTTAGCCCCGAGAGCCGCTCAGGGCTGTGCTGAGTTTAGTCACCGGCCTCGCTGATGGCTGTGGTGTCAGGAGGCCTGCTGAGCGCCCACTGAGGAATGCAGCACGAAGCAGCACAGCACTATTATTATAAATGCTTTACTTATTGCTGCATTGACCTCATCCAGCGAGCAGCTTCATGCACCCACTGGGCCAGCAGTACCTGTCATGGTCATCATCTCTTCCTGTCACAGGAGCCACATGCCACCATTGCCTCGCCTCACCTACCAGGACACACAGAGGGCAAGACACTGGCAGTCATCTCTGAGGCAGGAGCTAAGTAAATCAAGCCTTGCTCATCACGAACACACAGTGCTCCCTTTCCTGCACATAATTATGTAATCTTTAGCATGCATGACAAACTATATGAAATAGATGCTCTGTTCTCATAGACCAAAGCCAACTGTAGGTCCTATTAATACAGCCTGTGCTATAAAAGCAGGAGCTCAAAGCTGGGAACGGAGTTTGGCTATGCAAGTGTCAAGTGCCCCGCTTGAGCAAGAGCACTTGCTCCCAGCGATGCAGAGCACCTGTCGGCCCTGCCACTCTGAGCCCAGCCTTTAGAGATGTTAAATGGGATTAAATCCAACAGCCTAATCCGACAGCTTCCATAAAGAAGACAATGTTTTAAATAACTGTGTTTGTGCTACTTTGCCCCAGTTTGTGCATGTCACACAGCAATGACAACCTGAGAGAAGCTCCAAAGAGCTTTGGAAGAGACTGTCTGTGATGGCATACAAATGGACTGCCTTGTTCAGGGCTGTTTTCACTTCCAAGAACATTACTTCTTATTTTTTACATCCATGTTGGCTAAAATGCCATCTGAAAGATGGGGGAAACCTGAGTTCTGGTCTTTGCTGTGATGGCTGCTGCCACCTTTTATTAATTAACCAGCTATATCATCTAAACTACACAAAGAATACTTGCAGCAAACACCAGGGCCAGTGACTCAGGGTCTATTTTATGTGCTGTCTGTGTGGACTGGCCATTGTGGAAACCTGTGGTGCTCAGTGGCCTAGCTTCTGCAGGGAGGGAAAGGGATGCCCCAGCCTCACCAAGTAAACTAGCTTCTAAATATTTATATGAAAGATCAACTTTAAGGGAAAGAGTATCTCAGGGGTACCACCCATCACCCTACATCATGGAGTAAGAGGTGGAATTCCAGAAACAGCTTTTTTTTTTTTTTTTCAACTGCAGCAGTGCCCTTATCCCACAGCCAGCTGGTTTGGAGCCCATTCTTAAGTACCTAGCTTGCTCTATCTATCTATCTATCTATCTATCTATCTATCTATCTATCTATCTATCTATCTATCTATCTATCTATCTATCTATCTATCTATCTATCTATCTATCTATCTATCTATCTATCTATCCATCCATCCATCCATCCATCCATCCATCCATCCATCCATCCATCCATCCATCCATCCATCCATCTGAGATGTGCATCTGTATATATAGCTGAGGCACTACAGATACGCTTCAAGATGCCAGTCCAAAGGCCAAGAATAAGTTAGACACTGCAGTACTCAGCACTTAACTTCATTTTTGGTTTCAATTCATGATCCAGAGGCACTGGACATATAGGCCATTAGATGGATCTTGAGATAGATTGCCTACTGTAGAGATTTGCTTCACAGAGAAACGTCACTCATTTCTCATTGTATGTGTCTTCCACAATGTCAGCCAGGAAAATAAATGTACAGCCTTTAAATTTGTTCTGCTCAATTAAGAAGATCAATGTCCGTGTGTCTTATATAGGACATGCAGTTCTGTGCTGGTTTTGGTTGGGATAGAGTTAATTTTCTTAATTGTAGCTAGTGTGGGGTTCTGTTTTGGACTTGTGCTGAAAACAGTGTTGATAACACAGGGATGTTTTTGTTATTGCTGAGCAGGGCTTAGCCTCAAGGCCTTTTCTGCTTCTCACTCCAACCCACCAGCAAGTAGACTGGGGATGCACAGAAAGTTGGGAGGGAACACAGGCAGGACAGCTGACCCCAACTGACCTAAGGGATATTCCATACCATACAACATCATGCTGAACAATAAAACTAGGGAGGATGTTAGTGGGGGGGCACAGCTCAGGGACTGGCTGGGCATCAGCCAGTTAACAAGGAGCAATTGTTTTAATTTGCATCACCTGTCTTGGGTTTTATTTATCTCTGTTATCTTCCTTTTCATTACAATTTATTATTTTATTTCAATTATTAAAATGTTTTTATCTCAATCCACAAGTTTTCTCACTTTTACCCTTCTGATTCTCTTCCCCCATCCTGCTGCAGGAAGTGAGCAAGTAGCTGTGTGGTGCTTAGTTGCTGGCTGGGATTAAACCACAACAAGGTACAAATTTGGAATTTTGACTAGTGTCTCAAATTGGCCTTAATTCTTGGTCTTTCACCACAGAAGCTCTGTTAATTGAAATGAAGGAGTAGTCAGTGCCCAGCCTTTGCAGCGAGTTAGCTCATAACCTTTCCTTTCTGTTACCAGTAAAACTGGCAAAGACAACAAAGCCTACAATTAATGCACTGCTTTATCCAGCAAACAGCAATGCAGCTACTGAGTGGGTAAGACGTGCAGCTGCATTTGGCCCCGCAGGTCAGAAATATCCCTCTATATGGCTAACTGATGGTTAGAGTAGGAGGAGAGGGAAAGGGCAATGCATGTTATTGTTTACACCAGGGCCCATGACAACTAAATTGAGAACATAATTTGAAGTCACAAGATATTTTGCCCTGATCCTAATAACTGAGGCAGGCAGACTGGCTTTAGTGCTAACAGATGGATGTTAAGACTCTGGGTTGACAGGGACCATCAGGCCCAGATTTGATAATAGGCTCAAGGGTATGACAAAAAGTTTAGAAGGTGGGTGTAAGGATGCTTTCTCAGCTTGCCCTTCTGTGGAGTTTCCTGTATTCCAAGAAGAAATAAGTCTTGTGGGAGGTAAACAGAATTGCTGCTTCTTCCCACCAAAGTATTTGGCTTCGAATTCACAATGATGCAAAACAGAATATTGGAACTTCTGAGAGAAAATGGCATATCAGTAAAATCGCCAGCTGCACTGGTCTGCACTACCTAGCTACTTTACCACCTCAGCAAATTCATAATGCACACTCTCCTCAGCACTAGTGGTCTGTCTTTTTGTACATAGAAAAGAAAGAGTTTGACCCACTCTGTCAAATACAATGAGAAGATGTTTGTAGAGTACTCTTGGTCAGAAATAGTTTGTATTGGTTCCTTGGTGAGAAAAAGCCTTACCTAGCACATCAGTAACATTTCCCTTGTCACTGCCAAGCTGGAGAAGGAGAAATAGTATGACAGTTACCTACACTGCTTTACCACCTGAAATAGATTTACATCCCTTGATGCTTAACATTGACAATCTTCTTGATTACTGTCTCTGATAATGACCATATGGTTCAGTTCTTATGGTCAACTCCCTGAAATAGATGGCTTCAGAGCTAAAATCCTGGGTCTTAAGGGTACTGTTACAAATCCTGGCCTTTTCAGGCCCTTCCTAAATGGAAATCTGATATCCTCCTTATAATAAAGTGTGAGACAGCTAAGGGTGTGGCTAGATGTTCACTGTGGAAACTCTGCTATTCTAACCTTCCCAGGGTGCTTTGTTTTCCGCTGAAGATTTCTACTTCCATGGTATTGAGGAGGACAGACTATTCTGAGGGTTCCCCCGCCATTTCAGTGCAAGCCTCCCTGTATCAGTTTCAGCCACCTCTGGGATATATTTAAGACAACCTCCTGACCCTGTGCAAGCTCTTCGCTACTTGTTAGGGTCTGGACAACCAGCTAACCAAGTTCTGTTGTGGTGTCCGTAACCTGCAGTCACTCCAGCATCCTCTCCAGCTAGTGACTTGTGGCCTCACATTTGTGCATTTGACAGAATTGTGCTGACAAAATGCCTGAGACAGTCAACTATAAATTCTCCATCACCCATGCCAGTAGACTAGAACACCATGTACAGATCAAACAGTTCAGTTAATCCTAAACCTTGGCAGAAGTACTGAATGGAAATGGATTTGCTGGGCTGACATCAGGGACTGTGATCCTACCTATGTTTAAGATTCACCATCTCTGAAGAATACTCAACCTAAAAAAAAGAATGTACTGGGAATCAAAGAAAAAACCAAGAAAATAAAATGTCTTCCAAGACAAAACTTGACTGGATTTCTTGCTGTAATCAAACGGAGAAGCAGATACACTAGCACCTCAAGATTTTATCTTGCAAGGAGTTGTGACTTGCACATTAATGAACTTCCACTTGTGGAATGACTCTTGGCAAGCAATGCATTTCAGTATGACATAAAAGCATGAGAAGGAAATAAATCAAATTTGCACTAGCAGTTCAGCAGCCTAGGTGTAGAACTGGAAAGAGCTTGTTGCTACTAACATTTTTTTGTCTTGGAGACACTGAAGCTACATATGTAAGATCTTTGCCCAGAAGCCCCAGTAAAACGTTAAAGAATTATTTTAATTCATTGACTCTGTGTCTTGAACAGAATTTTCTTTCATTCCACACATATCTTTAATATGGACAAATATTAACAAACATAAATACAGACTTTTTACAAGTTAGCTTTAGGTAGAATGGGACACATTAATATACAGAAGAGTAATCTGCTGAAGGAGAAACCAACTGCCAAGAACTTTTCATTGCATTGTTTTTAAAAAAAACACCCCAAAAATCCTTTTGAAACTACCACCATTACTACTGGTTCTCTAGCAGTTATTTGCTTTTACCCAAGTCCAAATGCATTATTGCTTTGCAGGATCCTAGTCATGAGCTCTCTGAGAGAAGGCAAGACAGAGGAAATCATAGAAGTCTACCCTGTAAGCCCCTTTGGTCTTACTAATTGTGAAAGAAAGGGGCAAAGCAGGATCAGCTTGCTTCATTCATTGATTGTTTCGTCGTGAAATGAAAGGCAGTTTTCAAAAACACTTGAGAGTCCATCCTCATACCCTAGCTACTCAGCATGTCTGTCGGGTAAGAGGAAGGAGGTGTCAGAAACTGAGTAGCCTCACTGGTCAGGCAGCTGGACTAGAGGATCGTTGTAGGTCCGTTCCAACTGGAACTATTCTATTCTATTCTGTTCTATTCTATTCTAATTCTATTTCTGTCAGAAACAAGGGGAAGTGTGGGGACAAAGCAGTGGAAAAGATTTTTTAGCATGATTCTCCAGAACAAACTCTGCGACATTGGACACTTCGTCACAACACTGTCCTGGGTCCAGAATCCTGGGTCCAACTACTTCATGGAAGCTGCAAGTAACGTGCAGACTTTACCTGACTGCAAGCTCTCTCCTACTAACTCCAGAATAGCAACTTCCAATATGCATCTTGCTTTGAATCTTCAGGCAACTCATGAAACAGAGTTTCCAAGCAGAAGACTAAGTCTTGCTTCCAGTTTGAAAGGGAGCAGTGAAGAGGACATCAGTACAGGGGACAAAGGAACTGAAGAAGACATGGGTGGCTCAAGAACTGAAGAAGGCCAAGCAAATAGAAGTGCAAGGTACTCCACCAGATAGTATATGAAAAAGTTGGTATCGCTGTTGCCTGCAATTTATCTACTGGGGTTAAAAGAAAATATGCCCCAGTCCTTCCCTGTCAAAATTAGGACTCACTTCCAGAATTGTAACCCACAGTTACAAAAATTAGATGCAGTGACACACCTTGGCCTTGCACTGTGCATGTGTGGACAGCTTTACATAAAAGGTTACAAAAAACCCTTCCCTGTAAGCCATCAGTGATTAAAAGTCTAGATCCAAAACATGATTAAAATTCTTTAGTGACCCAGTAGAGCAGTTAGGTGTCAACCAGAACACAGTCACTATGTTAACCTGTTCAGTTTGGGCTAAAGGACATAAAAAGAGGTACAATACTGATGAATTCAAGCTGCATTTTTGAAACAGTTAAGTTCTTCTGCACTATCATCTGTCCTGTGGTGGTGCAACCCCTCCTCTCTTGGGCTCCTCATAGCTTTGTGCAATTTCCCCTCCCTGGGTCACCTGCCAACCCAAGATGAATAGGGGAAGGTAGTGAAACAGAGTGTAAAGGCACTCCCTTAACACCCCCGCCTCCTACCTCCCCTGTCACTGGGAAACCTCCACAGCCAACTCAAACGGCTTGGGAAAGGCACTAGACCAGAATGTTAAGGCACCCCCTCAGCCCACTTGCTTTCTGCCCCACTCTCTTACCTTTTAAGAACAACAAGAACAATCAATACCTCCTGTCAGGCCAGTATATCCATACTTGGGTTGGGGCCCAAAGGGGGTGATACCAGGACTCCAAGAACTAGTAAATTCTGGTCTTGCACAACCTGTAGAAACTACCAGAATATTCCATCATCTGAGTTGGGCTGAAATGGAAAAGTGCCGGATTAAAGTAAATATCTTGGACCCTATAAATAGTGATTCTAAGCAAGGTCCTTTGAGCTCTCCTGGGTCACAGTGGGCTGTGACCAGCGTCTCCCCTGAGCTGGGATGCCTCTCAGGCACAGACTTCTCAAAGTTTGAAGACTGTCTGCCCACAAAGCCAATGGAAGGCCAGGGAGAAATCTGACTTCTTCTTGACGTTCAATTATCGCCTGTTGAGAGATACAGATGCGTTGTATTTGCTCCAAACTCAAGATGGGAGAAATTTTAACTACAGGCTAGCCTCCTCCATCCACCTCTTTACCTATATATGTGCTTGAATGTAGACATTTGCCATCACAAGTGTGGATGTCTATATATTTCACTAGATATCCAAATATTTCCCTGATCTGTTTTGTATTTTTATAAACATGCATATGTATTTTGACTTAGAATACCTTGTAGTAAGTTGGTGTGAATCTTGGCATTCTCAAATCTGTAATCAAGTCACTATTTTAATCATGTTTTACTAAATCACTTTGTTAATCTTTATATTGATCAAACATTAAGTGTTGCTAAAATTTAACCTTTGATCTATCTCACACCACGATTAAATCTTAAATTGTTATTAAATCATAAACATGTGAGATACTTGCATCCCTGACAGGCCCAAAGCAGTAAGCAGACAAAAGAAGGGGGCTCACGTTGTATTTTTTCCAAGTTTCCGCAATCAAGCAAGTATATGATAACTTAAGATACAACTACAGGGTTTCTGAGAAGGGATTGAGCCGCTCTTTGTGATGCTGGAAAATCTAAGGGATTTTCAAAGTAAGTTTTAAAGTCATTCCCATATGATAGCTCCCTTCCACCCAAACACAGGTGTGGAGTATGGTCTTCCACCCCTTTCTACCACATAGAAGAGCACCAACCCCCCAGCCCTCTATTACCAGTGCCCTAAAGCGTCAAGCCCACCCAGTTCCCTTGCATAAGGAACCTCTATTACATAATCCAGTGCAATTTTTCCCCTCACGATATAACCGCTAATTAACTCCACGCACAGCAGACTGTTTCCTCTGCCAATGCCTTACCCCTTTGCTCTGCCTTGCTCTCTCTTTCCCCAATTCTCCTTTTTCTTACCAGCACATCCCAGTCACCCAGTTCCCATCTCCATCTCATCTGCCTCCCTACTAGCAGGAGAAAAATGGAGAGCATGAAGAAGATCAGATGGCAGGCCTGTGCTCTGCACCCTGGCTGGAGTCCCCTGCGGCGGGACAGGCGCTGGTGGGAAGATGAATGCCACAGCAGGCTGGTGCCGGCGTGGCGAGGCGAAAGAGCATGCTTGGAGCGCAAAGGCTCCGCGGGGAATTTCGGTGTGGAGCTCCCGGCCTCTACTGAGCGCTCTCAGACAAAGCCATCCCTGCAACCGATGGGAGTTTGGGTCGGGCCAGAAGCTCTCCTGCCAGCCAAGGCAGGTGTGTGCCCAAGGGACCAGCCTCATGCCAAGTCCCTGCTCTAGAGGCACTAGAGACCGGGGACACACACACACACACACGACATGTTGTGTGTGGAGAAAACAACTTTTTCTCCACACCTTGCTCTCGGAGCTCGCTGCAAAATCAGAGTCAAGGCGGGAGCCCGCCGCGCTCTGCCACCACAACTACAGGCAAGACGGAGCAGCGGCAGCGGGAGGGAGCTGGGCCCGGGAACACCCGAGGGCTGCGCAGACGGAGGGGCCGCCGAGCCCCGCTCCGAGACCCCCGGCCAGGCTCCCGCGGGCAGGCGAGGCCCCGCTCGGGAGAGGGTCTGCCGCCCCGGGGCTTGGTTGGGTGGGAAAGGGGGGCTGCTCCGCCGCCCCGTTGCCTCCCGCGGGACGGGGACGGGCCCGTGTGCGTGGCGGCTCCCCCCCCGAGAGGGACCGGGGCCGTCCACGTGTGCGTGGCGGCTCGCCGGGGCGGGGCGGGGAGCGCGGCGCAGCCCGGGCCGGCGCCCCCGCCCTCCCTCCCTCCCTCCCTCTCTCCATCCCTCCCTCCCTGTTTCGCCCTCTCCCGCTGCTCCCCGTCCGCGCACGACCGTGGCGGCGTCCCGCCATGTCGGCCGCCAAGCACCGGGGCCCTAAGGGGGGCAGCCCGCCCGCCGCCGCCGCCGCCGCCGCCAACGAGAGGGGCGCGCAGCCCGGCGGCTCCGAGGAGGCGGCGGCGGCGGCGAAAAAGCCGTCAGCGGCGGCGCACGGCCGGGGCGGCAGGGCCGCCGCGGGGGGCGGGGGGGGCCGCTCCGGCGCTGGGCCCCGCCGCGGCTGGGCGCTGCTGCTGGGCGCCGCCGTGGTGCTGGGCGCCGCGCTGCCCGCCGGCTGGTACGTGCGGCAGCTGCGGGAGGAGGTCGGGCGGAGCGCCCGGGAGAGGGAGGCCTCCGGCCGGCAGCGGCAGGAGCTGGCCGCCACGCTGGACGCCGTGGTGCAGAAGGTAGCGCGGCGTCGGGCACGGGAGGCGTGGGGGGGGGGGTGTCGCGGGTGCCGCTGCCGGCGGCAGCGGGGCGGGCTGGTGAGCGTCGGGGCGCTCGGCGTTGCTCGGCGGGGTGGGGGGGGACAGCAGCCGCCCCCTCAGAACTGGGGGGTTGTGTGTGGGGCGGCGTTCCCCCCTTAAATAAGCAACCGCGCCGCTCTCCGGTAGCCCGACTTACGGGAAAGCAAACGTGTCCCGCCCCACCCCAAGATGCTTTCATGGCATTAGAGGGACAAAATCGAGGCTGGGCCGCGGTTTTCCCCCGCCGCCTGCAAACGTGGCCCGGGAGCAGCGAGCCGTCCCTGGCAGGCAGAGCGGGGCTGGGGCGGGACTCCGGCACAGCCCGCGGCGGCGGCGGCCGGCTGGCTGCCCGGCCCGCTCTTCCAGCGCTCCTTGGGCGCGAAGCCATTTTATGTAACGCAGCCAGCACGCTTGATGTGTTGGCAGAAGCGCAGACCTGCAGTTTCGAGAGCCTGCTGGCGGTAATTTTGTATCTCCGACGCTTGCAAATCGTTTGAAACCGAGCGTGGCGGATGGGCGGCCCTTCGCCGCGGCGTCGAGCAGGCAGGTGTGCGCGCCGGGGGAGGTGGTGTGGCGGCGCGGTTGGACGTGGCAGGACCCTGCCTCGACGTTTTGCTCTAGAAGACAAAATCTGTGCCAGTTTCACCCAACAGCAGAGGCAGCGCCAGAAGCGCCGCTCCTGCCCGCACCCTCCCTTCCACCATCCTGCTGCTGCCTCCAGCCCTGAGAGAGCAAGACTCGCCATCGTCCCTGGACTGTGGAAGAGCTGTGAAGTTGTTGGCAAAGGGTGTGGTTCAAACGAAGCAAGAGAAATGCACCTTTCTCTCATCGGTTTTTCACTCAGGCCTTATTAACCCCTGAGCTAGAGTTTCACAAATGGCAGTGTCCATCTGGATATGTCTTAGGGTGCCTAAAACGTTTAAAAAATGGTATATGTGAAGGCATCGTCAACATACAGTCAAGTTCCTGTCTAGGGAGTAGGTAAATTTGTTGGAAAGCAGTATGTAAAGTTATGACTGAGTCAGATCAAAGGAAAGGAAATTCTTGTCTCAGCTTGACTGCTTCCTGCGCGGCAAGCTGTGCAGATTCCCTGTGTTCCCTGCGAGCTTGGGCCCCGGCCGGCGGTGAGGGGACAGGGCGGTGGGACGGGCACGGGCAGAAATCCTCTCTCTGTTCTGTGGTGCCCCCAGAAGCGCGGCAGCCTGCAGGTGTGGGGCTTGTAGGGCCAGTCTTGGTGTTTCCCCTCCCTTTCAATAAGGAGGAAAACGAAAACTCACATGAGAGGGGGAAAAGCCGTGCAAAATTAAGGGCTACTCTGTTGTTTCTGAAGCAGATTTTAAATCCCGGGGTTATTGCTCACTGATGACTGGGCCCGTGATTTGAACTAGCAAGGGTTATTGTTTTTTCCTAGTTTTTAAGGCATTTTAACATACTTGTTTGTAGGAAGGAAGAAATTGCAATGGCAGAGCATGCTGGATGTAAGATTACAATACATGATTATAGAACCCAGACGTGTGCAGTATATAAGCCCTTCCAAGCAGCATAGGAATGTGTACAATTTGCTGCTCCCCATCTCCACGTCGTTGCAGAAAATAGTAGGTATATGTTACATATTCTAGGAGACAGGTATATAATAGAAGTTTATAAATAGCTGGTTTCAAAGAGAACTGAAACTATTTGCCTGTGTATATCAGATGTCTGATGTTAGATATAGTTACAGTAGTGCAAGGATTAAAGGTGGGGGGGAGAGATCACACAGAGTTTCGATGTAGCCCTTGAGCACTTCACTTGCTGTGATTTGGTGGTGTCTTTGCAGAAGAATGTACTTGAGGGAGAGGAGACCAGGCTGCGTTTCATTGCTTGGCAGACGTGCAGGGTCCTGCATTGTGCTTGCAGAGTGCCACCAGCGCAGGCTGCTGTGTGGAACTGGCTTTGCCGATCAGTCTTCTGCCGCAGAGAGCTCCTGTCAGGAATAAGCGTTATATAAACTCATCTGCTTTACAGATCAGGAGGAGGAGGAGAAAGGAAATGATGTGGAAGTTTAGTCTTCAATAGAGCACAGTTCTCAGAGAGGCCAAGGTCGTTTGGTGTTTAAACACAAGATAGTATGACCGGTTAGAGAAGACATAGTGGTTAGCTACATATACATTTTTATGTGCTATTTATGATGTTAAACCTTTCAGGGGCTGTGGCTTCAAGCCATACCAGCCGTGAACACCAAACAGGCAAACTTGCTTGTAGATGCACACACAAACCAACTGTGTAGTGAATATGAACTACTATTCTGAAGTTGTGAGTTTTAGCTGTCTTGTGCAGTGGGCTTGCTTTGGGCACTGGTGGCTCTTGGTTAGGAGAGATCAGATTAGAAGCTGGTCTCATTGGAAGACCCCAGTCCATTTTATTATGTCAGAGCTCTCTGATCTTCAAGTGGCTGGACCTTCTGCAAGTGTAGGAGAATAGCTTCACGTTACACCATGAGCACTGCCTGAATGCAGTGGAGGAGCAGGTCTAAAATTCTTCCACTGCAGAGGGGTGGGATCCATCTCTGTATAGCAGCAGAGACCTTCTGGCCCTCTGGAGAGTTCTCCTGGCCATTTCTGATGCCTCTCCTTAGACTAACCATTGAAGGTAGTTAATTGCAAATACGAATTTGATTTGGTTGGAATGTGTCAAAGAATAGAAATTCTGTCATAAGAGGGGGAGGGGAACTTTCTTGTGTCCTACTTTTAGATTTCCGAAATCCATTTGTAGTGATACAGAAAAAGCTCTCTATGTGGAAAAAAATCAGAATGAATGACAGCTAAGATGTAGTGAAAATGGGGTTGGTAAGTCTGGCTGGTGCCCTGCTGCAATATGTATGGCAGTATTACTTGCTTCCCCCTCCCCTTCCTTAGCTCATTTCTAGTTTCGTATGTGAGCACTAGAGAGTACAGGTATATAGGGAATGTTAAGTCATTACAGACCTTTTTACAGAAGGGGGAGGGGGGGGAAAGAAGTCATCTTTATGGGTATTCTTCAACCTGCAGGGATCCATTGGAGCAAGGGCGAGTCTCATGGCCAAACTCCACAATCCTTACACAGTGTATACTTCGGTGAAAACCAAGGAGGATTTAGGCCAGGGATTTTGTCTTACAGAAATACAGGTGAATAACTAAATTTCTTATTAGTAAGTCTGTTAGGTCTTTTGAAAATAACAGCTAGGTTCAGAGTCTGAGAACTGTTTGGGCCTCCTTCAGTTAAAAAGAAAAAAAAATGGAAGCTCTGTATATTTCCTTCTAAGAATATATAAAATATACTTCCTTCTATTTATAAAATAAAACCATCCCTCCAGCTGTGTATCTAATCAGTAAACATGGCAGCCCATGTGGCATGACTGATTAATATACCCCTCAGACATAGGGAGTAGCATGAGGAAGGGCAACATGCATTACTCAGCACTTGCCATCCTGCCAAAGCCTTGAGGTATATTCTATGTGATGGATTCCTGTTGCACCCAGTGGGAGTTATTACATTGCTTTACACAGTTTAAAAAAATACAACCCACACACGCACAAAAAGGTTTCTCCGCAGTCTCGAGACTGATACTCTGCTTGGCCCCAAAATTAAGTATTGTGTTCTTCCCTGGCCTGGATCTTACCTTTAAATGTGAGGGTAAATGAATGTGGCAGCCACTCACCCCTTGACCTTTTCCCTCTTGCTGCTACTAAAACCAACTGTAAAGGTAGTTTTTGTAACTGGGAAGCTTAATAGCATACTTGGGCCAGTGGTAGCAACTTTCTGTGTTAACCCGAGGTGGGTGCAAGTCAGTCCCCTAGGCAGCTGCTTGGCCTCTGTTCTCTGCCTCTGTGCATACATGTGCTCCTGGTCACTAGAGTATGGGGGTATATACATGTGAGGTACGAAGTATTTAGAACATTAAAGACCTTCTATGTTTTTTATCTTAAAAATAGTTAACAAGAAAAATCTCCATTGTCTCCATTGGTGTCTAGGAGAAGCAAAATGTCATGATTACTACTCCTATTCCCCAGACATTCTCAGTTCCCTTTTCCCCCTATTTTTTCCTGTTACTGTTTCTTGTCTGCTGTGAAACTTCTTTCACGTTCAGGAGTTGGCCTTGGGTATTACTGCTTGCTAAAGTCTAATCCCAGGTTTTCTGTATTCAGAAGCTGATGCCAGATGTTCTTTAGGGATTTTTTTTCCCCTTCCCTTTCCTCCCTTATGGACTTGTGGCCTGTAGAAGCAGGAATCCTATAGGGAAGGGATGGCTCAGAGGTCCAGAGGCAAGCTCTGGAGACTTGAGTTTGATTTTCACTGCCACGGATTTCCTGGATCATCTGTGGCAGGTCAGTGAGGTCAAGGATCCTCAGCAGATGTATGTATTTATAGAGCCACAGGGCTGTAGATGCTGGGCTTTTCGTGCCACCTGTATGCCATAGGGTCACCTCGGGTAGGGAACATGAAGGATTGCAAGGTGATCAAGGGCCATAAGGATCTTAGACACAAAGGGGAAGTATGGAGGTAAGGGTGAAATTGTAAGTATTAACCATGTGGATTTCTGTTTTAGGTGCGTTCCCTACAAACCACATTTGGAGAATTTGAATCCATGATGAAAATTGCTCAGCAGAAGCAGGAGGTTACTGAGAAGGCTGTTAAACAAGGGGAGAGTGAAATAAACCGGATCAGTGAAGTGCTTCAGAAGCTGCAAAATGAAATTTTGAAAGACTTGTCTGATGGCATCCACATGGTGAAGGATGCAAGGGAACGAGACTTCACATCTCTAGAAAACACAGTGGAAGAGAGACTAACAGAGCTAACCAAGTCTATAAATGATAACATTGCTGTATTCACTGAAGTCCAGCAAAGGAGCCAAGATGAAATCAACAATATGAAAGCCAAGGTTGATTCACTAGAAGAGGCAGATGTGTATAAACATGAAATTAAGGTGCTAAAAGATGCTTTTGATGAGATGCAAGCGTCCATGAAAACCAAAGACAAGGACATAGAGACCTTGAAGAGTACAATAGACTCCATGGAGTCTGATGTGTACACTGAAGTGAAAGAGCTAGTCAACCTCAAACAAGAACATGAGAAATTCAAAGAGGCTGCAGACACTGAACACCTTTCATTAAAAGCCTTACAAGAGAAAGTTCTGAGAGCTGAGGATTCTATTATGCAGCTCCCTAGTGACATTAAAAGACTCGATGAAGATTTACTGCAAGTTAAAGCTGACCTTAATAAATGGGAAGAGAATGAACTCTTCAGAAAGGCATTAGAAACTTTTGGGAAGAGCAGTGAAGGACTGGAGTCTCGATTGAGGCACATAGAAGACAGCCTGGAGTCTCTAAGTTCTGTTGCTGCTCAAAACAGTGAAAAGTTGCAATCTTTCCTTTCTAAGGAGGCAGAATATGAGAATAAGCTCAGTAACTTAGAACAAAGCATTGCTGCTCTTCAGGGAATCTCAGATATGGACATAACTTCGGTCACAGATGTTCTGAAAAATCTTGGTGAATCACAGACCTCACTGTACAATGATGTGGAAAACTTGAGGAGAAGCATCAGTGATTTGCCATCCTCCGGTGCTCTTCAGGATGTCCAGAAGCAAATTAGTACTTTGTTGGATCAAGGAAATCTTCAGACAGGTCAAGCACATTCTCAAGGCTATCTTGAAAAATTTTCTTCCGTGGAAGGCTCTGTAGATGAACTGAGATCTTCTGTCAGCCAGGTTGATTCCGATTTGAAAATGATAAGAACTGCAGTAGATAGTTTAGTCTCCTACTCAGTGAAAATTGAAAATAATGAGAACAACTTGGAGTCTGTGAAGAGCTCAATAGATGACCTGAGGAATGATCTGGAAAGGTTGTTTGTGAAAGTAGAAAAAATACATGAAAAAGTTTAGGCAGTGGTGCTCCTTGTGCAAATAATGGATTAAGGAGAATAGCTTTTGTACGCCCAGTTTTTTACTCTTTTTAAAAGCAATTTGATACCTCCAAAGAGAATAAGATTACTTTAATAATAGAGACAGTTCTGCTTATTTCCTTTATTTCTCTTTTGTGTAGTGTTGTGGGTTTGTTTTGTTTTGTTTTGTTTTGTTTTGGGGGGGGTGGTGGTGTTTTTGTTTTTTTGGGTTTTTTTTTTAAGAAAACGTGTTTAGTTGGGGGTTGAGTTTCTAAGGACTCATCTTCTCTGTAAAGTACCGCTGTAACTGTAGTGGTGTAACTAAGGCACTACAGCCTTGTTATCATGGGCACATATTTAATGGCACGAAGGTGTTTCACACTATGACACTATATATCCCACACAGAAGGGCTACAGCTGTTCTGGTGTGAAAAGCATAGTGCTGTACACACTGAGAATTTTACTGGTATGTTTTGGTTTAAGAAGCAAATGAACAAAACTACACCCCTATCTCAAACTCTTTAGACCAGTAAACTTCAGTGTGGACCAGGTTTGAGGCAAGTCATCTGTTTCTGCAGTCTGGGACTCAGCCATGTGGTCAGTTTACCAGGTGTCAGCTGAGCTGTAGTGTATTTCTGTGATCCTTAATCTGTACCAAGGAGCTAACAGGGGGTTAGCTGAACCACCTCCGCCCCCCGGCCCCGAAGGGAAGGTTTGATGTAAGTGGCGTTGCTTGGGGCTAAGACCTAAGAGAGGTGTTCTACCAGGTGGCTGGAGAGATTCACTCCTTGTGATCACAGACTTCTTTTGCAGCATCTTCAGCTGCTGGTGTAGAAGACCAGTGCTTGGAAGGGACATCTGAAAGATGGGATTAGTTTCTAGAAAGTACAGTAGTATTTTTGTCACGTTTTTTGGATTGTTTACATGATGAGGCTGTGTCTCTCCTGGAAAGGCCTAATTTGTCTGTGATACAGGATTTTCTCTAAAAACGATCATGAATTTGAATAAGGAAAGAGAAGGACTAAAATTGCACCTCTTGTGTTCCATGTATAGCAAGCATGTTAATGATAATAGTACACTCCAAAACACACAAGGGGGAAAATCACCATGAAATCAGCAGAATTGCTTCTATGGCATATACATTTCCAAGTTTTCACACAGCTGACAGTGACCTGAACTCTTGTTACATATTCAGCACTTCATGCCTGATTCTTGTCACTATTGTTGTCACCGGGTGCCTGCCTGGGACATTATTAGCAAAGGATCCTTCTAGGAACTGGCTGAGAGTGAGGGAAAAGTATTGTAATTCTCTAGATGTTGATTTGAAAACCACTTTCTTGTGGAGCTTTCTTGGTTTTCTGTCTTTTTGGAAAGGATTTCTAATGTCTCTCCTTTTCAAGTTTACTTTTGAACTTTATCTAAAGATTTGATAAAGGAGTCTGCACACGCGGATAGCTTGGAAATAGGTCTTGGGCATCATGCCCAGCTCAGCCTTCACTAGCCAGATCCATGGCTAAATTAGAAGAATTCCTAGAAATGGCACTTCCCAGAAGTGGGATGCTTGTGGGAACAGTGGAGCTGAAAAGGAGTTCTCCTAGGTGAATAAGATATACTGCACCATATCTAGTGTTGTTCCCACTGTAAACAGGAAAGCACTGCTGGCAAAGAAAGAGGGACCCACGGCACTAAGGTACCTGTTGTCACTGTTGGAACTGCACTGTTCTTTGTTGACTTCTCAAGTTCTTGAACAATGTTGTTTAGGTTACTGTGAAATGAACTGTATGGCTTATTTGCAGTATTTTTAATACATAATAAACATTTGGAATATTCTTTGCACCTTTTTTTGGTCGCTGCTTCCTTAATGTTTTTGTGTCCCAGGATGCTTCCAGTGGGGGTACAGGAGGGGGCTTAGGGGAAGAACCAGGTGTGACACAGCCCTGTACTTGTTCTCAGCTTTCACAGGGGAATGTGGAGGCAGTCCTATCCGTTGTGGTTAGAGGAACTCTTGAAAACAGGATTTGAGCCAGTTGAATGCAGTGGTGTGGACCAGAGCATGCGGAAGCCTGAGATGTGAGGTGTGAAATAGGTGATTTATGCGATGAATGAACGCCATGTCAGACAACGCCAGCAATGCCTTGGTAAGACTTTCTGAATGCTCGAAGCATGTAGAGCAGAAATACTGTACAGAAAGGACCTATATAAACTTTCCCAAGTGGCTGGTCCTTTTGGATAGGTGTCAACACTGGATTTCAAGGCCCGTAGACTGATACCATCTTCATGAAGGATGCCTGGCTTTGGGAAAGGGTGATTTCCCAGCTTTGAATGGTGAGAGCCAAATCTTGTTTCCCCTGTACTGCTTACAGCCTTCGTAAAGGAGTGTGGGCATCATCATGTCCTGGAAGTTCCTGAGGCCAAATGCATAGAGAGGTAGTATCTGTTACTAGACTACCTACATGTTCAACAAAACAGGTAAGCTACACAAGCCCCTCCATCTAAACCAGATCTGACATAACCTGTTGACCAGGTTGGCCTGAAGCTGGCAATGAGCGTGCAGTGGCTTTGAAGAGTAGTCGCAGCACGACTTAAAGCTGCTGTAAAGCCAGCACTGCAGGTGAGCCAAACTGGATCTCAAATGAAAAATTACTAGTTACACTTCTAATAACTTAAATTCTATGGCAAACTATTGAAATTACCTATTTCACTACATAAGAATAATAATTTTCTAAATAATACAGCTGGAGGCAGGCATAGTAGCAAGGATCCCTTGATGGGCTGGAAGTGCAGTTTTATATTTGGCTTGACTGCCTCATTGAACACAAACACTTCCTAATTCCCTCATAAATGCTCACAGAGCACATCCAGTCCTACTGCTGCTCTTTGTCATTGTTTTTACACTTTCCAATAAAAGCAGCGGAGGTCTCAAGCAAGGCATAGTCTAATGCTGCCAATATTCTTTAATATTATTAGCAGTTCATCAGTAACGTGCTGTTCCAGTAACAAATTTCAACAGAAACTGTCCTGATCGATGAGGCGGCCACTGAGCTAGTTCATTAACATTTGTCTTTGTTTTCAGCTCTCCTCTTATAAATGGAGAAACCATTAGGCCAAGGTGCCGCAGACTCGACGGCGCTGAAGGGGCTTGCCCAAATAGCTACGCTGGCAGTCCCGATGGAGATAAATCTTGTGCTGCTGCAGGGGCTGCTCCCGGTAGGGCTTCAGTGATCTGTAACAGCAGAGAAGAGTTTCTGGTGGCCTAAATCTATATGTTAGAGGTTTTAGTAAAACATGGATTAGTGATTTAATCTTTTTGCCATCTTATTTGACATAACTCAGATGGTGGTGTAGACAAAGCTGCAAAGTTACGTGGCTACAGGAAAAACGGCTGAGATGCACAAACACCAAAACTGCCTGAAAACACCCTGCATGGACCTTCCATCCTACCTCGGGGCTGCCAAGGACAGCGTCTGCAGTTTGGGGCGCTTCAGGGAAGGTGTGGCTGAGCTGGAGGGACCCTCCGGGAGGAAAATGATGATGGTCAGAGGTAAAACGTTCTCAGAGAAAGAGATTCAACAATTGGGCCTGTTTAGACTTAAAAAAAAAAAAAGAGGAGGGAGGACTGAAGGGAAAAGAGGAATGCCAGGCTTAATACACAATCTTCAACTACCGAAACCGCTGTTCCGTCAAAGAAGGACGAACCCATTTGCTTAGTGTGGCGGGGGGGTGAGGCGTTCCACGCGGGAACGCCGCCGGCGGGGGGAGGGCAAGGATGGCGGCGTGGCAGCGGAGAGGCGGAGCGGGTGGGGAAGACAGGAGCACTGCCGGTGCCGAAGGGCCAGCCGCTGCAGGCCGGGGGTCCCGGGGGGGGACACAGCCGCTGCAGGCCGGGGGTCCCGGGGGGGGACACAGCCACTGCAGGCCGGGGGTCCCGGGGGGGGACACAGCCGCTGCAGGCCGGGGGTCCCGGAGGGACACAGCCGGGAACCGACCGGGGGGGCGGGGACCGGCCGGGAGCTGGGGACCGGCCGGGGGGCGGAGCCAGGCGCGGGGGGCGGAGCCAGGCGCGGGGGCGGGGCGGCGGGAGGTCGCCCCCCTGTGGCGGCGGCGCGGCGCGGCAGCCGGCGGCTCGGGGAGGGCTGTCCGCCCGTCTGTCCGCCCGTCCGTCCCTCCATCCCTCCCTCCATCCCACTGGAATTTCCCTCCCTCGGCAGGAACCTCCTGCTCCCTCCCCCATCTCCCTTCGCCGGGTCCCACCGCGGCATCCGCTCACGCGCCTGTTCAATATTCTCCTCACGCGGTATCACACACACCACCCCCCCCCCCCCCCAGGACACCTTCACCCAGTGCTCGGTGGATTCTAGAAGCGGCGGCTGCTTAATCTGCCCAATTTAGCTGTTTTGCTAATAAGTGGTCCCAGGCCCGTTTGTTGTGTCATTATCTGCTTAGTTTATAGGTGTTAGGGCGGGGGAAGCTGTGGCTGATTTGGTTTTGGCTGTAGTTATCAGCTGTACATGACATTTAGCACTGTGAGATGCTAAGCCCTGTTGGCTCTCTGAGTGCTTATACATTGCTGCTACCCTGCCCTCCCTGTGTGCGTTTCAGTCATTGTCATCCTCTGCCAACCATGAGCAGATATTCACCGACGTCAGAGTCAGAATATTTACATGCAGGACTTCATCAACACTTATTTTTAGATCCTCGCATGAGGTGTTCAAACAGCACACAAAGCGATTCCTTTTCCCAAGAACTCATTTGGTTTAACACTGACCAAGGATGCTCAAAAAGCAATTCTGCCTTGGACACCAAAGCAAAAAGCGTATTTTCTGCTTGCCCACATACCAAAACCTCTTCAGAATCTCTAGTGCCCCGTATGTTGCAAGCTCCCAATATGTATCTTCTCAGGAATCAGTGCTTGCTCATGCACTGAGAAAGGGAACTCGGAAATCTCTTTATAACAGCAGAGCTTGATGATTCCTGCGTTTATAATGCAAATACTAAACCCCAGACCTATTCAGAGTTAATGCAGCATCACAGTTGTAGCGTGCTGGACCTCAGACAAAGAGATCCCTGAACTCTGCTTTTTTTTTACACTGAAGCTTATGGAGCAGGTGTTCCTTTGGCTGTTATGGCTATACAAATAATACATCTCAAAATCTTTTCAAGATGATGCTGTCTAGATGCTGAGCTTAGCATTGGGGGACAAATCTTTTCTCAAGTGATCCCGGTTTCACTGTGACAGGAAAAAAAAAGCCAAAGAAGCAATTTCTCGTTTTACTGCATATCCTGTTTAGAGAAAAGTAGTTTTGATGAAATACTTATTATGCAGTTAACTCCTGCGCCCCACCCTGGTGTCCATCCACAATTCTAGAGGAAGAAGCTAGTTCAAATAAGGCCGGCTTTGTTCCACTCAGAAAGATTTTCCTTTGGCACTCTCTAGATGTAAATATGTTAAATTCCTGCAGATAATTCTTTCCTGTCAATACTGCTTAGGTTGGGGTTGGGATGGAGTCCTACAGTTATGAGTAAGGATGGAAAACATAACAAGTGCAGAAAGAATCAGGGTTACCTTGAGACTTTCATATATTTTTTTTAGTGCTCTGACTTTCAAACAAAGCTCTTATAATGTTTCCTTTTCCCCTCCTTTCTCCCTTTTCACTAAACTTCCCATCGATATATACATGTCAGGGGGGAGATGCAGAATATGATGCTTAGATATTATTTGCTTTACAGTGATAATTTGAAGCCATAAGCAAAAACAGGGCTTGAGGTGATAGCCACTGCAGAGCCATCTGTTTAGAGAGAGCACTAGTATGAGACACAATCTAAACAAATGAATTGACATCATCATTAGAGATAGGTAAAAGCAAAACATTGCAGTTCCCAGAATGCGTTTGGATAGTTCACACTTCAGTGTCACTCAGGCCGCAAAATCTTTATCACCAAGTACTTCCCTGCCCTGGAAACTCAAAATGCTCTGTGCAAGGGAGCGGGATCCAACCTGCAAGGCGGACTGCCTGGGAGCCCGAGGAGGGCAGCAGGCTACCTCCGAGCTGCACAGCCTGGGGACCCTCCCTTGGACAACCTCTGCGGAGTGCTTGAAGTCTGTAAATTGGAAACAGTGAGGTCTTAAAAGCAAATTTCCAACCAGATGGGAAACTTAGCAATTGCAGATTGACAAGGGTCCTGATGATCCCACTGAAATCAGTAGCTACACTGCCATTTCCTTTCCCGGTACAAAATCAAGGCCAAAGCACTGTGCCCAAAGCCACACAAAAAGCATGTAATATACCCAGCAATGATTTCCCATACCTACAGCTCCAAAAATCCTCTCCTTTCTTTCGAGTGCATCGGAGCTGTTTACCAGAACACCTAATAGCTAACAGGTCTTCCCATACTGAGCGAGCCTTTCCTTTTTGAAGTCCTCTTCTCAGGGCCTGGTCATAGCAGCACAAGAACATTATCAAAGGAGGTAATACTACTGGCTTGTATAGTTTATAGATTAAACAAATATGGTTTGTGGTGTTGGGGAAGCAGGCTGGGCCTCAGGTCATATTTACTAGCTTTTTCTGTTCAAAAGATTGTGAACATTAATGGTATAGACAGCCCGATCATTAAGGTCCAGAGGAAACACCTACCTGAGGGTCAGCCTCCTCGATGCTTTTGTTTCCAGCTGCCAGGAGTTTCAGGCAGAGCAGCTACGCTGGTACACGTTCAGCTGATGCCTTCAGAGATCCCATCACAACCCTCAGAGCTGGAAACAAAAGGGACATTGACTGATCTGAATGTAGTGCCCCGAGTGAATGAAGCTGTTGTTGTTCCTATGTCATGCGTATAATGCCATTGCCCAGAGGTTCAAACCCTACCCTAACAGGCGCTGGATGAGAAGACTTATTTAGGCACCTGTCCATTGGAACGCTCTGGGCATCAAATCCCACTCCCAATGGCATATTTTGTAGGATTAAATGTGGATTTCAAGCATTCCATTCTGATATTTTTTGCCACATTTACGTACCAGATTTCTAACATCATACTTTCAGGTCTGAAGATGGCATTGTTCTTAGCACTTTAAGTATTACGCATTCTTACCATGGTTTCTAAGAGAGGGAAAAAAGCCCCTCAGTTCTGTCTAATGTGTTTAACATTTAAAAATAGGATATGAAAGAAAAAGAGCAACTTTTCCATTCAGGAAGGAGATATTTGCATTGCTAAAAATAGCCCTACTAAGCCTTCATGAACATGAGATTGATGGAAGGATAATTAACATTTGCTGGAGTCTGAATCCTTACAGATAATTAACTGAGGTGATAATAACTTTCTAGACCCATGAAAAATACCTCTGTCCTAGAATGCGTTCAGTGACCAAACCGCATTACAGCATCCCAGAAGAATGTCACAGCCTTCCAGTGACTGCAGGTTGGTGGCATGACTGGAAAAAGCCCTGTACCTCCTCCCGAAATCGTTGGGATTTCAAATCGGCGGCAGCAGTAGAGACAGCAGGACGACTCCTCACGGCCTTCTTTGGGCTCAGGGGAACCTCCTTTGATTAAATCAAAGGATCAGGCCAGGACATCACAGAGCCCTCAGAGTGTGCTACCTATCACATATGCACTTTTGGGTTATCTTGTAACAACATCGGCAAAAATTTAGCTGTGGAGCTGTAGGAAGAGAGGGTGCAGGCTGCATTTGTCCTTTGTGTCAACACTACCCTCCTCTGCTGGATAGTCACATAAGAAACTACCTGCCCAAAGGAGCTGATCAACCAGAGACAGCAGAGGGACAAAGACAAGGTGTGCTGAAGCAGTGTGGCACACGGCAGAGAGATCAGCTGGTCCAGGCGGGCTGGTGGCAACCACTGCGCCCGTTACTTTTCTAGAAAGTTAACTTCAAGGTGGTTTTGCACCTTTCCCTTCCCGTCTCCTGTGGGATCACATCTTTCATGCGATATGATCTGAGGCCCACGGGCACAGACAGATCCTTCTCTGTTGACTTCCATAGCAATTGGATGAGTCGTGTGTGGGACAGGGATAGGGGAAGGTGAAGAATTTGGTTACGAAGCAAAAATTGCAAGGACCAAATAAAACAGACACCTGCTGCTTTCCAGCCTCCAGCCCCAGTACACATTTTCCAGGATTTGGGGAGCTTTGTCAGTTTGTAATTTTTTTCAAGGGCAAAGATTCTTCTATTTCTTCTGTCCATTCTTTCTGTATGGACAGGGAATACTTATAATGCTGTTGGCAACAGATAGTGGTATTATTTATTAAATACAACCCTCAAGAATAGTTTTTGGTTCAGGTCAGAGGAAGATCAAGGACTTTAAGCACTGCAACTAAGTGCTCCAGAAGTGTGGGCAGCTCCATAATGTGAGATAGAAATCATGTATTTGAGCATTCTAGAATTAGTGTATCTTCACCAAAGTCCACAGGAATCACGAAGGGTTGGGTGAAGGGTTGCATTTAGATTTCTATTTTGTATTCATTAGAATGGGCAGAATTGACTGCTTTACCTATAAAATTAATTCAGTAATGGAGCTGCTGTTTCAAATGGTTGAAAAGAGCTAAATCCCTGTTTGTGAAAGTATTTGAACTATAAAAAGAAGCACATCTATTAAAAAGAGTTTTTGGAGTCCTGTTTATTATTCCTTTCAGTTTCTCTGATGTCACCGTAACAAAAAGTCATCCTGAGCCTGAGGAGCAATGAAATAAATCTATGTACTTCCAATCTTCCCTGCACAGTCCAAGTTCAGGACTAGGTGTGCTTTTTTGTGTTGACAAAAGAGAAATGAAGTGAGAAAAGATGCACTGTAGCAAGTGAAGTTCAGCATTTGCATTTTTGTCTGAACTATTAGAAGCAGCCAGGTGGTTAATACAGCCCTGATTTCAACATTTCCTGGATGAAATTTGGAGGCAAGGGTGATGGCTGAGGCTAGTGATCTGCACTTGATTCCTGCAAAAAGGAATCAAGAATGCAACAAGCAAATGTATGTCGCCACGTTCTTCGGTGAATTCAGCCGACATCGGTACTGTTGCCTGTGAACGGGAAGGGAGTTTCAGAGGGCGCAGCTATTCTGTATCTTGAGTGTGAGCCCAAACTTCCTTCATGCCTAAACTGTTTGGAAAGAAGCCTGTGCTGGGGAGTGGGGTTTAGTACGTACTTGAGCAGAGGAGCCCAGTGGAGCTCCTTTCCTTCCCTCCTTCCCAATCTGAAACCAGCAAGCAGAAGCAGAGATTTACTATGGGGTTATTCAGGCAAAGGGGGCTTGGGAGCTCAGGCTAGCAGCACGGTCCAAACTCCCTGCCCCAATTCAGAGTGCTTACATCCCTCTGAAGTTTGTACTGGGTAAAGATAAACACATCCTGAAGCGGCTTGTTAATACCACAGGGATGGGCTTGACACAGGGACCTGGTTTGAGAGAGGAGTTCCCCACTCCAAAGGAAAAAATCTAGTCACTGGGTGATTTATTAGTCCCTCTTCAATGATACTTTTGTTTTAAGGGGGCTTCAGTTACCCTCTGCTGACTGGAATTTTTCATTTATGTTGGAGAAGGATTGCTCCTTGACTTGAAAAATTACTTCCAGTGAGCAATAAATGCTGTGGGCCTCATCCTGTGGCTTTGGGCATGACAGCTCACCACCGGTCACTTTGCCACAGGATCCTTGCCATTCTTTCCGTTTTCTTTTTCTTGCCTTATGCTTTACATATGTTTGTAATTAGCACTTTTTTCTTTTTCTTTTTTTTTTTTTTTTTTTTTAAAAAAGTTGCCTTGTTACATCTCCCTCTGTTCCAGGCTGTCAGCTTTGGATTTCCCTGTATTCAAGTCCCAGGCATTCCTCTTCAATGTGCTCGCTGAAATGCTTTTACCATGGGAGAAATCCTTTTCCCACATTGTTTCCAGTACAGTGGAGTTAGTCCTCGCAGTTAAAGAAAATTCCCTCTGGGAAAAGATCCTCAGTGCAGTGAAAGACTCAAGACCACCAGTTTACCTGCTTTCAAAAATAACGACAACTTTTAAGGTATGGGTGAAATTCTGCTTGTACATTTTGATCTTAGATATTAGATGTACATTTCTGGCAATGAAACCTCTCTCTGGCTGTATTTTTGAGTCTCCTTCGCAGTCATCAAGGAAGAAGGTTGGGTGTTTTGGCAGATCTCTAATGCAGGTTCTACCAATAAGTTTATTCAAAACAACTTTTTTTTTTAATATGAGTCCTGATCTTGTGGAGAATCTTACAGCTTCATGTGCTTCCATAACAATATTGTTCTACCTTGTATTAACCCTTGGTAGGGACCTGTGAGGTCTGTCTGTTCTTTCCTTGACCTCTCCCGCTCCTTTAATTCGGAGTATTTGTTACAGACAATTTTATTTTATTCAACTTCTATTTCGACTATTTCAACTGAGGCAGTTCAACTCTATTTACTCTTTTCAAGGTCAAAATTAAACTGTTTTAAAGTAGGTATTTCCTTGTCAAAGAAACTCTTGCATACTTACAAACAAGGAGAAAACAGCACATTGTTCTGATGCTCTAATGATGTTAAATGTCTAAAAGTGAGTACGCAGGTGTGCGGGAGACCTTCCCAGAGCACCCAGGTTCAGCAGGGTGCAGAGCTTCATCGCTGCCTGGTCACCCTCCTGCCCCACTCCAGCAGTGGAGGGCGAAGGAAGACTGCAGCGCCCGTAGGATGAGAGGGAATGCTGAAGGCCCTAATTCTGCAGCTTGGTTTGTTGAGACATGAGAGCACTTTCTCATCATTCTGGTAGTGTAAATGTACTTTAAAGTCAAAGCGATTCCATAATCAGTCAAGAACTTGCATTACTTAAGGTGTTGTGTAGAACAGGTCTGGTAGTGCCCATCTTTGGGCTAAACATGTTGATTAACTGCCTCTTGCTGTCCCAGATCCAGTGTTTTCAAACTGGGGCAGAATTTCCTATCTGCTGCCCTAGAACAGGGAAGCTAGCTTCCGTTGAGCAGGCTTTCTGGGGTGATTGAAGAGATGACATGAGTAATTTACACAGCATTTGCTAGAGTGTGTGTGAATCTCTGAAGAAGAACACCAATCACTTTTTATAAATACAGTGTAATTACAAAGATGTACAAGTCTTCCCAAATACAGGGATATGTTGCAGGTATCGTTCTAGCTGATTTGCCTGTACAGATTTGTACAGATCTTCAATACTCTGATAACAGCTTCTGACAGCGCCTGAAATTCTCCTTATATTTCTTTATATATGCCTACATAGGATAATGGGAGTTGTGCCTGGGGATTCTTCCACAGCTTCCATCTCAGCTACTAAAATAGCAATGAGCAGTACTCAATCCTGTGGGAGTAACAGCACATCTTGCTTCATGCAACATTTAGACTTCAGCTTTGTGCAGAGACTTCTTCAAAGGTGGCCAGGAAGAGCAAGGCTGCCAAACCTCACTGCAATGCTAATGGGATTCAGCCATCCAGTTCCCCTAGGCTGCTGTGAAAACCCCCCCTCTTAGCTCCCTATCTTGCTATTTGCATAATGTTCACACCCCTATGCTGCAGCTTGGCTAGCATCATTCCTTAGGAGGCAGCTTGTCTTTGATGCTCTTAAAGACTGAAGTTTAGTTGATGTGCCCAAAGAAAACACAGGAAACACATCAGCGTAAAGAAGGAAATCAAGAGAAAATCAGATAACAACGCTCCTCCTCAGCATCCCCTTGAAAGAGATGAGTTAGATGTAGAGAACAGGAAGAGAAGCCACTAACTAAAGCATGAGGCTTACCA